TACCTGCACTGACAGATCTGCTCCAAACAGCAGCTGCAGCCAGAAAATTCCTATTTTTTCCCATTCCCTGGAGCCAGCCAACATTTTGCTTTCTATTCTTTTACCAGAAACCAACAGAGATGGAAGAAGCCAAGCTTTAAATAGATGCATACAGCTAGTTGAATATATGTTTATATAAATATGTTTTATAGGCACAAACAAGCAAAAATGAAGGTTCTTATATTGTATTGCTAAGGAAAAACGCTCTGTTTGACAGCATCCTTCTTTCAAACTTATTTGGCATAAATTATGGGCTGTAATTCCTATTTTACCCTGTCAGGCAGGCCTGTGAGTGGGACCTGATGAGGAGAGACAAGTATTTCCATCATATTTGTAAAAAAATCTGCATTTACACAGCGGAATATTTGATGGGCCAAAGACTCAGGTGATGAATCCATCCCTCAGAGGGGTTTTGCTCAAGGGGAAGGAATTTGTGTGGGCTTGAGGGATGGGATGGAAGGGCAGAGTTGGTCATTCCCTCTCTTTCCTCCATCCCCAAATCCTCCCTGCCTGGAGCAGAGGCTGCTGCTGGTGTTTTCTGCAGCCTCTGAGAGCAGAAATTCCAAATAAAGCCGAGTCCCTCTCACAGGCACATCTCTGCTGATGGCACAAACAGTGACATCAAATTCCTGCTGGGGCATCAACCCCCTGAAGTTTGCATCACTTCTTAGTGGTGTATTTTTATCTGCATTATATTTTATCTCAGAATAGTCCCCCCCATGCCTTGCTCTTGCTGTTTGTCTTCCCCACTGTCTGTTCACCCTTCTGTTTTAAGCTGGGCTTAAATAAAGCCAAACACTTTTTAAACTGGACTAGAAGCAGAAGGCTGAGCTCTCAGCAGAGGGAGGATGTTCGTGTGCTGCCCCTGAGGCTGAAGGTTCTTGTTGTGGTTAATGCCTCTTTCCCCATTACAGTCATTTCCTCTGAAGCAAATGGCATTTGGCCATTAAATTTTATATTTATTGATATATATTTCCGAGCTCAATTGGCATTCCCCTTTTTTTCGTTTTCCCCAGCCAGAAGTGACAGGAAGCCAAAAATCCTCCAGCAGCAAGGAGTGCAGTCCTGCAGCCCCCAGAGCTCCGTGCTCTGCCTGGACGTGGGCTGGGGTTAAAATGGGCACCATTTACACACCAGTGCTGGGCCAGGGCAGCAACACCAATTCTGCTGGAATGTTTTGGGGTCAGCTGTTCAGCTGGGGTGCTTCCTGGCAATATTCACCCTGTTTAACCAGTGAGGGAGAGGGGAAAGGTTTTCCTTGGGCCCTGATGTCGGAATCTGAGGTATTGATGATTCTGAGATTGTAGAAAGTCTCTGTCTGTCAGCCCCGCTGCCAAAGCAGAAGCCATAATTGGTCTGTGCTGTTTCAAGGTTGTTTATTCTGTTTATCTCTAACATGTTCTGCTGCCCTGCCGCAGCTCTGTCCTGCAGGGCAGCGTGTGGGGCTCTGCCCTCAGTGGGATGGTACAAACATTAAATACCACAAACTACCTGTGCTGGATTTACAATAACGTGCCAATATCTGTCACCTACGTTGGACAGTGTGTCCCCAGCCTGAACCAACAGAAAAATGCCAACACCACAGTGAAACATGGAGGGCATGAAGAAGGAGAAAAAGGACAAGACACACCCAATTTCCTCCATCTTGTCCCCTTTGGACCCCTCATCTAGAGTCCTAAAATTTTACTTTTGCACCCGTGCCACACTTAATTATTCCTTACATCAAACCCTCAGAGCTTGTAATTCATCCCGTAAGATTGAAAACTCTTTTCCATGGGCAGAGATCACAGCCAGTGTCTCTGGGGGCTCTGTCCAGGGGGGTTCCTGACCCCTGCCAGGGTCCCAGGGCAGCCAGAGGGATGCTCTGGATTCCCACACCCTGACATTGAGGTGTGTCATGGGGAGGGCTTTGAGGATGAAGAATCAAACCCATTGAATTCTTCCTGCTGAATAAAATACCTGCTGTGCATTTGGAAGTTGCTGTTAGGATTTTCTTTCCCCTTCCCCGAGTTCTCCAGAGCTGCTGTGGCACAGAACCTCTGCCTTGCTGTCTGTTCAAAATGATTATTCCATGTTGCTGGGTGCTTTTAAATGATTTCCCTGCACTTCATCTCAGAAGCCAAGAGATGGAGGAACTGGGTGCCTCAGGGGACCAGCAGTGCTGCACAAACCTTCTGAACCCATTTTGCATCACCAGAAACGGTTACTCAGTGATGCCATTCAGTAAATTCTGAAAAATAAGTCATTTTCTTACTTCTTCCCTCTTTTCTGGTTCATCTGAGTCACTGCTTTTTTTTTTCTACAGCACTCCAGCCAACATTTGCTACCCAGGGTGAGGAAATGTGAGCACCTAAGCCATAATTTGTCACCTAATTAAGTGACCTGATTTTCTCAGGAGCAGGATGTGTTTTCCAGCTCCCACTGCACTCAGCAGTTGTGAAAATCAGGCCACTTTTGCGTGGCTGGGGCCAGTTTCGAGTACTCAACTTCTAAAAAACTGATTTTTGCCTGGGAGCTGGAGGATGGGTCCTCTCCAGCTTTTGGCCAGGGTGGGATTTTGGGAGGAAAGCAGAGACTTACCATTCATCAGCACCATTCTTTGCACTAAATTAAAAAATAAGAGATAAAAAAAACTAAAGAAATCTCTCAGTTGCAGGTCCTGGGGTAAAATATCCTTTGGCTTTGTTTGCTTTATGCAGCATTTCCTCCTCACACTGAAAATTAAATTGAAAAGGGGGTTGGTTGTCCCTGTGGGTGATGGAGGCAGCTCTGGAAATCCCAGGTGAACAAAGGTGTGGCTCCATCCTCATGTTCTCTGCCTCCCTTTGGGACCCCAAGCACTGCAGGTGATGCCAGCAGAGCTCCTCTGTGTGATTTATTCCAAGGAATCATCAGGGTGGTGGAAGCTGGGCTGTGCACAGCTCCTCCAGAGGTTTGTGCTGAGACCTGGGCAGAGGAAATCCTGGAGAAACTGCTCATTGCAGAGCCAGAGCTGCTCTGGGAGGGCAGGTTTCACTGCCAGCCTTCAGAGGAGACTTTGGCAGAGTCACATCTCTCTTTTAAAGAGCAGAAACAGCCCAGACAGGAGGGGAGCTGAGCTGAGCAAGGGCAGCACAGCAAACGGGGAAGCAGGGCAGGAAGAATCCCCAGGCCTTGCTCCCAGAGAGGTGCCCCTTATCTTTTAGGGAAATCCCCCTTTTATCTTTTGGAGAGATCCCCCTTTTATCTTTTAGAGAAATCCCCCTTTTATCTTTTAGAGAGATCCCCTTTTATCTTTTAGAGAGATCCCCCTTTTATCTTTTGGAGAAGTCCCCCTTATCTTTTAAAAAGGTCTCCCCTATCTTTTAGAGAGATGCCCCTGATCTTTTAGAGAGACTCCCCCTTATCTTTTAGAGAAATGCCCCCCTATTTTTTAGAGAGGTATCCCTGATCTTTTAGAGAGGTACTTCTTATCTTTTAGAGAGGTCCCCCCTATTTTTTTAGAGAGATTCCCCCTTATCTTTTAGAGAGGACCCCCCATCTCTTAGAGAAGTCCCCCTCATCTTTTAGAGAAGTCCCCCATATCTTTTAGAGGGGTCCCCCTCATCTTTTAGAGAGGTGCCCCTGATCTTTCAGCTCCTTTGCCTGAGCTGCTTTCCGAAGCAGAGCAGTTCCAGCTTTGCATAGAACATTTTCCAGAGCAGAGCAAGGTCAGCGAGGCAGGAGCACCAACCCACAGCGTTCACCACCCCAAATCCATCAAATCCATCCTCCCAGAGGGCAGCTGCTGGGCACAGCCCTCTGCTGATCTCCAGGGAATGCTGGCAGATAAGGGCAGCAACACAGCTCGGGGAGGAAGTATTTTCATCATCACACATTTGCAACACAGCCCTTTATTTTTCTCTTTTTTTTTTTGGTTTTTTACCATTATCAGCATTATCTTTCTGCCTTCCTCTTAGCCTCCAGACGAACCCAAATGTGTGTGTTCAAGGGGTGGGGAAGGCTGAAGCACAGCTGAGTCAACAGCACATGGCTGGGGCTGGGGGGAGCACTCAGGAATACCCTCCGGGGGTGGCAGAGAATTTGGAAAGGCAGCCCTGCAGACAGGAGGGGTGACACAAACACAGCCACAAGTCCTGGAGGGTCCCTGACCCCAGACCCACAGGCTGGAGCCTGGATCTGCCCCCTTTCCCTTAAGTAGGAAGCTCTGAAATTCCCTATTCATGGGGAATTCTGCACCTTCCTCAGCTGAGCTCCTGTCTCTGCCTCATGACTCTAAAATTTCTGTCATTTTCTGCCTTCTTCACTCGTAATTTTTGCTGCTTTTGGGTTCTGGGTGAATCCCTCCCTTTGGCTGTCTCTGGTGCCACAGAGCTGAGCTGCTCCACAGCTGCTTTCCTGTGCTGCTGTCGAGCACTTGGAAAACCAAATTGCACATTTAAAGCTGTTTACAGGTGCTGGTCTGCTCAGAAACTTGCTGAACAGGAGAGCTGGGTGTTCCCAGCTGGAGGGAAAAGGGATTCAGGGGCATCCTGAAGGGAAAGAAGCAGAAGAGCTCTTTGAGGACTAAAGGGAACTTTGCTAAGCTGGAAAATCTCTATTTGTGCCCTCTTGTGGCTGTTGAATTCTTCTTCTCCTCCTCAGTGCAACTCTTGCACTTTCAGACTCAAATCTTTGGGGTTTCAGACCCAAATCTTTGGGGTTTCATGCTGAAATTGCCAGCAAAGAGCCCTTTAATTGCTGGTGTTTCTCTGTCCAGAAAAAGTGGGAAAACCCAGAGGTCCACATTTCATATTGTGTGCTGGCTGCGTGACTTTGCCCTTCAAACAGTTTTTGGGGATTTGGCAGGTGGCACATGCAAAAAAAAGAAAAAAAAAAGCCCCAGGGGTTGGAGAATTGGAAAGGGCATCCCACGAGTGCCCAAACACACAGGAACAGGACCCAGCAGCACTGAAATTCTCTTTATTTCTCTCTCTCTGCAGACAAAAAGCGCTGGCATCGACAGGTGGAAGGAGCGTTCAAGCAGCATGCGACTGGTTGGTATGAAGTTAAAAAAATGTTAAATATTAAAAAGTAGCAGAGATGGTGAATTTAGGGTTTCAGCCATTAGAATGTGGAATGTTTAAACAGGGATGTTGTCTGAAAAGCACCTGCAGAGTTGGTGAGGTGCTGGAAATAAGCAGGGCAGAAGTGAGGCTGCTCTGGAGGGTTTGTGAGCTGCAGCAAAGGCAGGAGCAGGTGAGAGAAGGAGCCCCACTCTGCCTGCTCAGAGACCTGGAGCGGTTCCTGGTGCCTTCCTCCCTGTGTTTGGCACTCTGAAAGGCACAAAAGGCAGAAGCAGTGACCTGCCTTAGATCTTCAGAGCATCAGCCTGAAAGTAAAACCCAATTTTCTGTGTTCCTGAGCGGTGCTAATGGGCTGGAAGTGAGAGAGAGCCGCATTTCCCCATAAAGGGACAAGGAATGGCAGCCAGCAGAGGGGGGCTGGTTTGGTTGGGTGTCAGAATCTGTGGTATTGATGATTCTGAGATTGTAGAAAGTCTCTGTCTGTCAGCCCCGCTGCCAAAGCAGAAGCCATAATTGGTCTGTGCTGTTTCAAGGTTGTTTATTCTGTTTATCTCTAACATGTTCTGCTGCCCTGCCGCAGCTCTGTCCTGCAGGGCAGCGTGTGGGGCTCTGCCCTCAGTGGGATGGTACAAACATTAAATACCACAAACTACCTGTGCTGGATTTACAATAACGTGCCAATATCTGTCACCTACGTTGGACAGTGTGTCCCCAGCCTGAACCAACAGAAAAATGCCAACACCACAGTGAAACATGGAGGGCATGAAGAAGGAGAAAAAGGACAAGGCACACCCAATTTCCTCCATCTTGTCCCCTCTGGACCCCTAATCTAGAATCCTACAATTTTACTTTTGCACCCGTGCTACACTTAATTATTACTTCTATCAAACACTCAGAGCTTGTAATTGATCCTGTAAGATTGAAAACTCTTTTCCATGGCCAGAGATCACAGACAGTGTCTCTGGGGGCTCTGTCCAGGGGGGTTCCTGACCCCTGCCAGGGTCCCAGACCTGCCAGGGCAGCCAGAGGGAAGCTCTGCATTCCCACAGAATAAAGCAGGGATTTATTAAAAGGCTTTTAAAGGACACACATTGGGCTGTACAGGAGCCTGGCTGTGGCTACACCCAAGATGTACACCGGGTCACAAGTTTTCACACTTTTATATTTAGTCCATTTTCACACTGGGTTACAGCTGGGGGAAGAAAACTCTTCTCTCGACTGAAGGGTTCTTTCTGGCTGCAGGCTCTTCTCCCACGTGGGTGACCCGTTCCTGGATGACACCCTGCCCCGGGAGTACGTGCTGTACCTGCGCCCCACCGGGCCCCTGGCGCAGAAGCTCTCGGAGTTCTGGCAGCAGTCGAAGCAGATCTGTGGCAAGAACAAAGCTCACAACATCTTCCCCCACATCACCCTCTGCCAGTTCTTCATGGTAAAGCACAGCTCCTCTCCCCTCTCTCCTCTCGCCGTTCCTTGCCAGGCTCAGCCTGGAGACTTCACCCTGGTTTGTGGGGGGAGATGTGGGGGGATTTTGCCAATGCCTGGGCTGCTGGAGGAGGTAATTGGTTTTTTAAGCTGTTGTTTTCAGGGAAGAGCAGCACAGAAGACTTGAGTTCTCATCCTCTCCAGTGATCCTTAGCGTGAGAATGGGTGGGGGGAGCTTGGGGAGGTCACTTGGGGATAGCTGATCCTGCTTTGAGGACAAGGGAGGGGCGAGGATCTCTAAACACGGATTTTTTATTTTCTTTCCCCACGTCCCTGTGCTTTTTCCCCCTGCATGAGGGGAATGGTAGACCACTGTCAGCCACCCACATCCTTTCCTTTCCTGAGCTTGCCTGCCCTGCTTCCTTGGCAGTGCGAGGACAGCAAGGTGGATGCTCTGACAGAAGCCCTGCAGGCCACGGTGATGCGCTGGAAATGCAAATTCCCCACCCCGCTGCCTCTGGAGCTCTACACCTCCTCCAACTTCATCGGGCTCTTCGTCAAGGAGGAAAGCGCCGAGGTGCTCAAGAAGTTCGCTGCAGACTTCGCTGCAGAGGCGGCTTCCAAAGCAGGTGAGGGCTGTGCTGAGCTGCCAGCCTGGGCATTGCCAGGAAAAACAAATTTGGTGTCAGGAGAGCCCAGCCTGGGCATTGCCAGGAAACCAAAGTTTGGTGTCAGGAGAGCCCAGCCTGGGCATTGCCAGAGAAAAACAAATTTGGTGTCAGGAGAGCCCAGCCTGGGCATTGCCAGGAAAAACAAATTTGGTGTCAGGAGAGCCCAGCCTGGGCATTGCCAGGAAATAAAACAAAGTTTGGTGTCAGGAGAGCCCAGCCTGGGCATTGGCAGGAAAAAAACAAAGTTTGGTGTCAGGAGAGCCCAGCTTGAGCATTGGCAGGAAAAACAAAGTTTGGTGTCAGGAGAGCCCAGCCTGGGCATTGCCAGGAAAAACAAATTTGGTGTCAGGACAGCCCAGCCTGGGCATTGTCAGAGAAAACAAAGTTTGGTTTCAGGAGAGCCCAGCCTGGGCATTGCCAGGAAAAAAATAAAGTTTGGTTTCAGGAGAGCCCAGCCTGGGCATTGCCAGGAAACCAAAGTTTGGTGTCAGGAGAGCCCAGCCTGGGCATTGCCAGGAAAAACAAATTTGGTGTCAGGAGAGCCCAGCCTGGGCATTGCCAGAAAACCAAAGTTTGGTGTCAGAAGACCCCAGCTTGGGTGCTGACAGAAAACCCAAAACTTTGATGCCACGAAGGAGCAAAGCAGCTGCCAGATCTCAGAGTTTGGGCCTTTTCAGAACCCCAAAGCTCTGATGCCACCAAGAAGCAAAGCTCAAAAGCAAAATCCCTGATTTTTAAGTGAAAACTCAAACCCCCCAGCGGTGCTTTGGCTTCTCAGCTGGGAGCTCTCTCCCCCTGAGCTCGCAGCGCTGGTTCTGGGAGGGAAGCTGACATTTGCTGGTTCTTTACCCTTTCACAGAGCTGCTCTGAGCTGTTTCCTGCCCCGCTCGCCGCCTCCAGCCACCACCACAGAACTTTCCCCGGCCATTTCAAGGCCGTGGTTGTTTTCTCACTGCATTTCTGAGCTGTGAAAAGGGCTCTGGGAGAAGACCCCAAGTGCCCTTCCCAACCTCAGAGCTCACAGGGCTGTGTCCATGATCCTCTCCTGCTTCTGGACGGGGAATAACCAGAATTTCATCCTCTCCACTGCTGAACAACCTGTCTGAGTGTCCTCCAGGCACCTCCAAACTGGGAAGTCACAGCACCCACAGCACCATGGTCCCACCCTGCAGCACTGCAGGGCTCAGCTTGGCCTGCCCACAGCACAACTGCTTCAGTCCTTCCCATCCCAGCCTTATCCTGGAGCTTAAATGCATCCAAATGCAGCAAATTCTGCATTCCTGGGGTGCTCCCATGCTGGGCAGGCACCCCCCAGCCGTGCAGGGATGTTCCGAGTCTGTCCCTGCTCCAGAACCTCTGGAATTTGCTCCTTCCACCTGACCTGGAACTTCTCTTTAGAAGAGGGAGGGAATTTGATCTTTAAAAAGGTGGTTTTGGAAGGCAGACATTGGGTGGGTCCAAGGACACTGCAGCCATGTGAGAGTGGGATCAGTGTTTCCCTCCAGCACAGCCAAAAATGCCAATGTTGTTTGTTTTTTTTTATCCAAACAAAACCCCACTGACCCAGAATAATGAAGCCTTGGTGGCTTCCAACAATCTTCTGCCCCTGAGACGGTTCCAATTCAGGCCAAATTGGGGTGTTTTAGGGGAAGGCAATTGCTGCATTGCAGCCACAGCTTGGTCAGGTTATCACATTAAAGTCTCTGGGGTTTTTTCAGAGATCTTGAACATATTTTTTATTGCTGATGAAAAACAACAACAAAAAAAAGATGGATGAGCTTGCAAAGCTACCCCTGGCTGGCACTTGGAGCCAAGTCTCTGAATAGCTGCAATTGTGACTGAATAATCAGTCAAATCTAATTGCAATTTTTGATTGAATAAGCAAGAATAAATTACGTGCAAACAATGTATCCTATCATTTCCACATCTACTGGAAGAGCCCAAATATTTTCACCTGGAATCATCGCCTGATGCAGATTCTTTTTTTCTGCGGGATCATTTTGAATCGTTATTATGCTTCCACATTTTGGGACTACCTCACCCTCAATAGCTAAACTGTCCAGGGAAAAGATTTAATCAGCTTGCACAAACCTGCAAATTCCATGGATTTTTAATTTAGTGCAACAGAAAGAACAATGGAGGGAGAGTAAAAATCATGATTTTTAACCTGCTTATTTTGGAAAGATCTTCATGAAAGCCTCCTGGATTGTCCTGCCTGGAAAAAAATCTCTTTTTTTTTTTTTTGGCAGGAGATCCTGCGTGTCCAGAATTGCAATAAGGATTGTCACAACCCCATTGTTTGGCAGTTTGGCTGAACCAGACCCCAAATCTCTGATCATTTGAGCCGGGGTGCAATGTTAAACACCTCATGTGGATGCTGACAGTGTCAGAGAAAGTCAAATCAACTTCCCCAGGCATTGCTCTGGGGCAGCTTTCTCACTCAGAGAAAGAATTAAAATCATCTTTAATCTTTGCAGCTGGTGTTTTGAAGGTGTTGTTTACTTGTAAGATGATGACAAGAAGGATGCTGTTCCTAATTAGCCAATGAGCTGAGGGGTGTTATTGAGGACCCATCAGGTCCAGCTTTCCCAGGACAGTTTATAAAAGACTGTGATGTCTAAGAAACTTTGCTGTTGCCTCCTGGGAAGATCTTGGAGCCTGTGTGGCTTTATTCAGCTGTCCCTAAGACAATAGCAACAACCACCCACTCCCAGATTTCCAGCTGAACTCCATCTTGTCCCACTGGAGCATCTTTGCAAGTGCAGCTCTGTTCTGTGGGTATCCTCAGTTCAGTCAGAGAGAAAAAGAGAAAGATTTCAGCCTGGGAAAAGTCCGAGAGGAATGTAAACAATCTATTATCTTGTTTGTTCATATTGTTTATAGATATGTTCTACCACACTGACCTAAGTCCAGTGCACCAATCAGGTGAAATGTTTTTACTTTAAGACCACAGGAATTAATGTTCATGATGTTCTCTATAAAAGAGAGAGGTGCTTTTGAATAAACGCTCATTTTGCCTTCTGAATATGAATCATTTTGCCCATCCTTGGCTCAGCAGCATCAGGCTGGAGGTCACAGCCACTAACCGGGCAGGAAGGGTTCTCAACCCTGCTCTCCCCGTTGCAGAATTAATGTTCATGATGTTCTCTATAAAAGAGAGAGGTACTTTTGAATAAATGCTCATTTTGCCTTCTGAATACAAGTAATTTTGCCCGTCCGTGGCTCAGCAGCATCAGGGCTGGAGGTCACAGCCACTAACTGGGCAGGAAGGGTTCTCAACCCTGCTCTCCCCATTGCAGATGTGCACGTGGAGCCCCACAAGAAGCAGCTCCACGTAACCCTGGCTTACCACTTCCAGAGCAGCCACCTGCCCACGCTGGAGAAGCTGGCCCAGAGCATCGACGTCAAGCTGGGCTGCGACTGGGTGGCCGCGATCTTCTCCCGCGACATTCGCTTCGTCAACCACGAGGTAAACCCCTGGGGCTCGTTTCACCCCAGAAATCCACCCAAAAAAATCACCCCTCTGTTACAGAATTTCTGAGAGACAGAGGTCATGATTTATGTTTGGAATGAGGTTTGAGCTCCCCACTCAGACCAGGCCTGAGGAGCGGCCTGGATGGGGCCTCGGAGCCTTTGGTGCCGTGAGAATTCCGTTGTGGCGCAGTCAGAAATTCTGTTAACTACAAAGTAATCAGCTATCCGAGCATGAATTAGAGTAGAGCTGCAGTGTGAAAAGTCTGACCACCTTAAGGAAAAGGTAAACAATGTTAGCATGCCAATCAGAGTGCCTTTGTTTTTGTAAACTATGTAGAAGCTTATATAAACTACCATCTTATCTCAAATAAAGGGAGAACGTTTGATTAACCACATTGGTTCAGACCTGCGTTTGTCCTGTCCAGCTTCCCATTTTCTGAGATTCCCTGGCTTTTCCCCTCTGCTGAAGGTCCCTTTGCATTTGTGATTTGTGGCAGCAGCTCTCTGGCCACAGAGAGAAACACAACTTTCCCAGGCATCATTTTGGGAAAAGGCTGTGAGAAGATGAGAGAAAAGAATGAGAAACAATTCTTACCTTCAGTTGCTGATTATTGCTGCTGTTGTGAACTTGTGCAATGTGTTACGGAGATTTGTTTACCAAAGGGTGGTTTCTTAATTAGCCAGTGGTGATGGTGTTTTAACTAAAGGACCAGTCAATTCCACCTGTAGTGAGCTAGGGTATCAAAAAGAGCAGTGGGTTTTTTAATGAAGATTATTATTCAGCCTTCTGTGATACTTGCAGTCTACACTAATTATTCCCCAGCTAGGAGCCTGTTTGATGTGATATCCATTAACAACATTTTGTGCTTTTTCTCCCCCAGACTCTGCAAGTGATCTACCCCTACACCCCCCAGAACGACGACGAGCTGGAGCTGGTCCCAGGGGACTTCATTTTCATGTCCCCAGTGGAGCAAAGCAGCACGAGTGAGGGTTGGATTTATGGCATTTCCCTTGCCACTGGCTGCTCGGGGCTGCTGCCCGAAAACTACATCACCAAGGCGGATGAATGTGGGACCTGGGTGTTCCATGGGTAGGTGAAGCTGCTCCTCCCCTTTCCTTGGCTGCAAAAAGGGGCTCAGTGATGTCTTGGGAGGCTGCCTGGGACAGAGGCTGGACAGAGTTAAAGGAATAAAGCAGGGATTTATTAAAAGGCTTTTAAAGGACACACACTGAGCTGTACAGGAGCCCAGCCAGGGCTATAAACAAGATGGACCCTAAGTCACAAGTTTACACACTTTTATAAGTTTTGCTCCATTTCCATATCGGGTTAATTGTCAATTCCAGCTCCAGGTGCTGCAGTCCCACCCTCCCAGGTTGCTCCCCTCCATTCCCTGCTGTTTGCATTTTTGGGGCTGAAGCTGCAGCGGTGTCCTTGGTTCTGGGCTGGAAAAGGATTGTTCTGTGTGCCTGAGCTGTGAGCAGAGCTGCTGGCACTTTATCTGGAATTCAGAGTTATAAATGCAGCACAGAAGGTGGGAAATACAAAAGCTCAAACTGAAGGCAGCAGCAGCAGCTGGGATTTCACCTGGGGCAGTGAGGAGGGATGCTGAGAAGGGCACTGAGGGGAAGGAGCTGGCACACAGAGCCTCATCTCCTCAGCCAAGGAGCAGCAGATGCTCTCCCCTAGCGTGGGGTTAGAGGACAAGGTGATTTTTGCAGCTGAGCTGGTGCAGCAGCTCTTTGTGAGCTGCAGGCTGGCTGCTGGGTGATGGAGCTGGAGCAGATGGCTGCTGGAGGCACTGCTGTGCAGGCACCTCTGCCTGCGACCAGCAAGGTGTAAATTTGAGAGTTAATTTGGGAAGAGACACACCTTCCGTGCATCATTCCCTGCTGAAAAGGACTTTGGGTCAGGAACATTCCTTAGGATATTTAGCGAGGTTTTTGTTGGCTTCAGTGAGAATGCAGCCCTCATCTTTTCAATAAGCTCATGCCTCTGGATTTTAGTGGGAATTCATTTGGCAGAAAGCTGGTCCTGAAATCACTCATTTACCCCTCATTTTTCCCTGCCAGAGCAGGGGAGACAAGGAGATGGAACCAGGGTTTTTGGGGAAAAGCTCCCAAACAATGTCCTGTGCTTAGGGAATGACTAAGCTGGAGCAGCCTCAGCAGTTTGTGTTTTCCAGCAGCACTGGGGACAGGCTGGTGGCTCTTCTCCAGGCACAATGAGAGTTTGCCTCTGCCTCATCACCATTCCCAGCAAATCCTGCCATCTATAAATAGATGGTGAAGCGTTTGTGGCCTTTATTAAAATGTTTAGAGAGAAATTGTGTGGTAGCTCCTGGAGGCAAAGGGAAGTGGAGTAACCAAAACATCCTTGGTATTCTCCAGACCAGTGTCCTTAAAAGATGTCATATGGGCAAGGCAGGAAAGGGATTAAATGGGAGGAAGAGCTGACAGCTGGGAGAAATTCACTTTGTACAGAAATCGAGGTGGGTTCTAAGTGAGAGCTGAGATTCTGTTCACATTGAGATTCTGTTCACACTGAGATATTCCAGTTTTGGGGTCACTGAGGATGGCTCAGTGCTGACTCCAATGCTCCACCTGCATTTGGGCAACGAGGGGAACAATCCCTCAGGGCAGGGCCAGCCCCTGCTGGGAACTCAGGAATAATCCAGTGCCATCCTTGCACCCTAATTCCACCAGATAATAGATCAGGACCAACATCCTTGTGGGTTTTTTCCTCCTTTAAATCACATAAATCACACAGGTGACCTATTTTTGTCCTGCTGGCAGAGTCACTCGGGGCTGTTTTACCAGCTCTGAGATTTTATCCTAACTGCTGCTATCAGAAGCAGCTCCTGATGTATTTAAGGCACTGAAAAGTGCCAACTCTGGCAACTCTTTCTGTCAGAGTAAATGACCACATCCATTACTTGATAATGTCCTTTTTTTTTTTTTTTTAATGACTAAGCAGAGGTAACTGAGTCAGCAGAGGGTCGAGGCAGCTTCTGTAATTGCCTGTCACATTTTAGTCCCCAGGGTTTTGGTCAAAGTCCTTGAATATCTGGGAATAAGAGCTTTATTCAGGGGGAACATCATTAGGCAAGGCCCTCCAGGGAGACTGGGGTCTGTTAAATCCCTTTGGCTGCCCTGAACAGGAAGCACTGGGGGGGAATAAATTCCCAAGCAGGTGGGAAGGGGAATAGGCAGCACTGAAAACTGCAGGAACAGCAGGGCTGAGTCCCTCCCAGGGAAGGTAGAAGCTGTTTTGGGCACAGAAACCCTGAAAAATGCCCAGGGAGGGGCCCCAGGTTTCTGCTGAAGCCACAGCTTGTGCTAGAAAGGTGAGTGCAGACTCCCTGTAGCCATTAATTCCCAAATTTGGGAGCACAAGTCCATGGTCAGTGGCATGGACAGGTGCCCAGGTGATGTTAGTGAGCATCAGGAAGGTCCTGGCACTTTCCACGAGGCTATTCCAGGGTGGAGAGAGCCTCCCAGGCCAAAATTTGGGAATTGTTCTGTGAATTGTTTCTAAGGGAACGGCCCATGGAGATGGAATTGGTCTCCTCACGTGTGTGCACCACCTGGCAAGGTGGTCTCAGGGCAGCACTAAAACCCAAATAATAATGAAATAACATCACAATTACCACCGGCTCCTGAAGGCTACAGAAACATCCTGAGAGCAGCCTGAGCACAAAGAGCATTCCCAAACACAACATTTTTCTATTTTTGACAGGTCCTACTCCATCCTGAACACCACAGCTTGCCCATCCCTTCAAGCCTTTGCTGATGGAGCTCTGGAGAGAAGGCAGCAGGAAGAGCAAGGGCCAGGGGATGCTGGGCCACTCACCATCATCTGCCAGAACGTGCAGGTGGGTAATTATTATTATCACAGACAGAAATTATTAGGACAAACTTCCAGTGAATGGATTTTTCCCCAAAAAATTTATCTTTTCACTCCCTGCAGCAAAAGTTACAGAGTTTTTTGGATGACATAACCCCATCCCCAGACTGGGGATGGGCTGGCAGGAAACCATCCTCTGTCTCTGGGGGCTCTGTCCAGGGGGTTCCTGACCCCTGCCAGGGTCCCAGACCTGCCAGGGCAGCCAGAGGGAAGCTCTGCATTCCCACAGAATAAAGCAGGAATTTATTAAAAGGCTTTTAAAGGACACACATGGGGCTGTACAGGAGCCTGGCTGTGGCTACACCCAAGATGGACCCCAGGTGACGAGTTTTCACACTTTTATAATTAATCCATTTTCACATTGGGTTAATTGTCCAATTCCAGCTCCAGGTGCTGCAGTCCCACCCCCCCTGTTTGCTCCCCTCCATTCCCTGCTGTTTGCATTTTTGGGGCTGAAGCTGCAGCGGTGTCCTTGGTTCTGGGCTGGAAAAGGATTGTTCTGAGTGCCTGAGCTGTGAGCAGAGCTGCTGGCACTTTATCTGGAGTTCAGAGTTATAAATGCAGCCCAGAAGGTGGGAAATACAAAAGCTCCAACTGAAGGCATCATTCCCTTGCAGCCCCTGAGGATCAGCAGCCAGCCGGGCCCTCGGAAGCGCTGCCTGTTCGTCTGCAGGCACGGCGAGAGGATGGACGTGGTTTTTGGCAAGTACTGGCTGTCCCAGTGCTTCGATGCCAAAGGTGAGCCCAGGGCTGGTGCACAGAGGTAAAACCTTACAAATGAAAGGCCTTATATTGTTTCAAACCTGTTTTTATTACAGCATGCACGCTTTTTATACATTCTTACAGAACTATTCAGTTTACACTTTACTCATTGGTGAGGAAAGACAAACAAAGTGCTCATTGGAATAGGCAGCTGCAGGTTTCTCTTATTTATCTCTTATTTATCTCTTATTTATCCTCCTTTCTTTCTTGGTTTCTATGTCAGCAGCCTTGGTAGAGAATTCTTTCAGGGGTAAACTTCTCAAACTTCTCTCTGGCTCACAGAGGTCACTGTAAAACCTTTTCCACATTATAAAGTCAGGCCTTGCTATTTAAGCTGCAGTAACAGGTAGCCTGTTCATTTCCCATGGAAAAGAGCCATGACAATGGGTTTTATGTAACAATCTGTTCTTGGAAAAAGGCACTTTGCATCGGTGAAAACTAAGAAATCTATCCCATGAGAATCCACAAAATAAAAATGCAAACACCTGTGTGAAGAGTCTTGGCACAAACACACACAGGCACCTTCTAACCAATAGACTGAGTGGCAAGGAAGTCACCAACCAATTAGAATAAAACATAACATGGAAAACTGGATTAAAATGAGGCTATAACATTAAAGTGGAGCCTTTGCTGCTGGAACTTTGAAGTGTTCTGCCCATTGTTATTCACTGTTGTTGTTATATGGGGGTGTCCCAGAATTTAATGGAGGAAGAAGTGGCCACTGCCTGGTGGGAACTGTGGATTTTAACATAAAATGATGATTTTTGTGCAGCCAGCAGCAGCAAAATTTCCTCACATCTAGGGAGGAAATGCTCCATTTGGCAATATTTGGGAAAATATTGCAGGAGTGATTACACATCACCAAAGGGAAAATGCAGTCATGATGTTGGTGGTCAGTGTTCAGTGAAAACATTTGCTGCCATCAAGAAAGTATTTTGCACTGCTGGCTCTCATGAAATGGAGCCATTTGCTTGTAAAATGAAAATAACACTGCTCAGAGTGGTTTTTGGGGCATAAATTGCTGTTTTCAAGCCAGTATTATACTCAGGTTTCAGACTAGTGAACAGATTATAACTTCAGGCTGTGTTGGCCATTGAGCTGATCAGAAATCCGTGCTAAAAGACAAATTCTTCTATTCAAAAAGACCAATAACTTGTAGTGAAAGGATGATTTCACAACTGCCTTCTTTCTAAACTATGGCTGAAGAGCTCTGACATTCCAACCTCCTGTAAAAGTGTAATGTTTGTTATGGAGTAGAAATTACTTTCCTTTGGGGAAATCAGTCCTAAAAAAAAAATATTTAGAACCTTAGCAACATTCTGTGCTGATTTTGAGCTGGTGAGAGGTGTTTAATTTAGTGAGATTCCTGACGGGTTTACATGGGGGAAAAAATAAAAAACTACTCACGAGCCAAGCCTAGACAGGACCTGCAAAGGAGAGCTGAGGTGGTGGGAGAGGGGAAAATCAGGGGTGGGAGAGGGGAATATCAGGGGTGGGAGAGGGGAAAATCGGGGGTGGAGAGGGGAAAATTGGGGGTGGAGAGGGGAATATCAGGGGTGGAGAGGGGAAAATTGGGGGTGGAAAGGGGAAAATCGGGGGTGGAAAGGGGAAAATCAGGGATGGAGAGGGGAAAATCAGGAATTGGAGAGGGGAAAATCAGGGATGGAGAGGGGAAAATCAGGAATTGGAGAGGGGAAAATCGGGGGTGGAGGGAAAATCAGGGGTGGAGAGGGGAAAATCAGGAATTGGAGAGGGGAAAATCAGGAATTGGAGAGGGGAAAATCGGGGGTGGGAGAGAGGAAAATCAGGGGTGGGAGAGGGAAAAATCAGGAGTGGGAGAGGGGAAAATCAGGAGTGGGAGAGGGGAAAATCAGGAGTGGGAGAGGTGAAAATCAGGTGTAACATTCCTGCCTCCATTTGGGGGAATAATTCCAGCTTTGGCACCTCTCCCTGCAGGCAGGTACATGCGCAGTAACCTGAACATGCCTCACAATTTACCTCAGAGGAGTGGTGGTTTCAGGGATTACGAGAAGGATGCTCCCATCACCGTGCTGGGCTGCACCCAGGCAAGGCTCGTGGGTAAGTGCTGCTCAGCAGGCAAAGGATTGGGGATTTTGGGGGGGATTTTTGGAAGGAATTGTTCCCCGTGAGTGTGGCACAAGTTGTCCATCCATGGAAGTGTCCAAAGGCAGGTTGGACAGGGTTTGGAGCAACCAGGTGTCCCTGCCCATGAGATTTTTGGGTTTTTCCAACCCAAAGAATTCCATGATTCCATGAATATCTTGCCCAGGAAGCTTCACTATCTTCCTCCCTCACCCCCCATCAGACAAAGGAAAGGTGCAGGGCAGGAAAAAAATTAATTGGATGCCCTGAGCTAACGGGATTTAAATTTTCAAGGAGCTTTGCAAAGTTCCTTCACCTTTCTCAGCGATTTCCCTCTTCCAAAGGAAACCTCATCTCCTTCAGCTGCTGCAGCTGAGGGAAAGGCAAAGCAGAGATGTGGGACATGGGGGAAATCAGAGCCATCAAAGGATGGGTGCACTGGGAAGATTTTGTTATTATCCACGCTGTGGAGAAGTGCAGCAGTGTGGCTGTCACCTCATGCAAAATCTGCTTTTTTCACCCAGTTTGCCACACCAATATCCTTTCATCAGCCTGCCTGGCTTTATATTGTCACAAATCATTTCCTGTGCTCTGCCACCCTCCTCATCCTCATCCCCGCCTTCAGAGCCTGTTGGTTTGTGCACAGACAGAAAATCCAAGGTCACTTTGCTGTGGCACTCAGGGGACAAGGACACGCTTTGGGTGGCACTGAAGAGCTCCAAGGTCACTTTGCTGTGGCACTCAGGGGACAAGGACACGCTTTGGTAATGGCAGTAAAGGGGTCCAAGGACACACAGTTTGTGACATTAAAGGGGTCCAAGGACACTTTGCTGGTGGCATTGAGGGGGTCTGAGGACACATTTTGTGTGCCATTAGAAGGTTCCAAGGTCACATTTTGCTGGTGACATTGACAGGGTCTGAAGACACATTTTGTGTGCCATTAGAAGGTTCCAAGGTCACATTTTGCTGGTGACACTGAGGGGATCTGAGGACACATTTTGTGTGCCATTAAAAGGTTCCAAGGTCACATTTTGCTGGTGGCATTGAGGGAGTCCGAGGACACGTTTTGTGTGCCATTAAAAGGGTCTGAGGACACACTTTGCTGGTGACACTGAGGGGGTCTGAGGACACATTTTGCGTGGCATTCAAGGGTCCAAAGACATGGCTGCAGCTCTGGTGGCACCGTGTGACTGTGATGTCCCGTGGCCTGTGCAGAGCAGCTCCTGTGACAGAGGCTGGCAGATGTTCCTCTCCTCAGTGTCCCCACTTCTCTCAAGACATTTCCAGGCCAGCCTGCCCTGGTGACAGCCACTGTCAGGGGGAATGTCCCCTCCGTGCTGCCACTCCTTCGCTCTTTGAACAGGAGGAGAATGTGGCTGCTGCTCACTGCAGGCCTGAGCAGATGCTGCTCTCCTTTGGTTCTGCTGGCACTGCAGGAATATTTAACATCCCTGATACGGGAATGGTTAAAAACCCTGATACAGGAATATTAAAACCCTGATACAGAAATATTTTAAAACCCTGATACAGGAATATTAAAAACTCAATACAGAAATATTTAAAACCCTAATACAGAAATATTTTAAACCCTGATACAGGAATATTTAAAAACCCAAATACAGGAATATTAAAACCCTGATACAGGAACATTAAAAAACCCCAATACAGAAATATTTAAAACCCCGATACCAGAACATTAAAAAACCCCAATACAGACATATTTAAAACCCCGATACAGGAATATTAAAAACCCTGATATAGGAATATTAAAAACCCTGATACAGAAATATTAAAAACCCCATACAGGAATAATAAAAAGTCTGATACAGGAATATTAAAAACCCCAATACAGGCATATTAAAACCCCGCTACAGGAATATTAAACCCCTGATATTAACACATTAACAAGCCTGGCAGTGGAGGTGATCCTTACCTGGTTTGCAGAGGTCTCCCAGCAGTGAAATGAAATGCTGATTTCTGCTAGCAGAGCATCCAGCCAGCCGAGTTCAGCTGGGGTTGAGTGGTGTTGAATCATTTGATTTACTGCTTAAAATGAAATAAAATTAAACCCACCAGCTTTGGAATTGTTCTGGCTGCTTTTTTTGGCCAGAGCCATGAGCAGCAGCTCCTTGCAGGGCCATTTACCCGGATTTATTGACAAGGAGCTGAACTCTCCTGCAGGTGAAGCCTTGCTGGAAACCAACACCATTGTGGACTACATCTACAGCTCGCCGTCCCTGCGGTGTGTGCAGACAGCCCACAACATCCTGAGAGGTAAGGGCCCCGAGGCGGAGAGCTCTGCATTTCCTGCAGGAAACACGACAAAAACAGGGACTAAGGGCATGGGGAATGGGCCTTCTTGGTAATTTTATTACTGAATTATTATATTATATTATATTATATTATATTATATTATATTATATTATATTATATTATATTATATTATATTATTATTTTATATTATATTATATCGTATTATATCGTATTATATCGTATTATATCGTATTATATCATATTATATTACGTTACACTATATTATGTTACACTATATTACATTATATTACGTTACACTATATTACATTATATTATGTTACGTTACATTATATTACATTACACTGTATTACCTGACATTGCATTATATTACATTACATTACATTATATCATATTATATCATATATCCTATTACATTGTATTATATTACATTATATTATAGAATAGAATATATTATATTATATTATATTATATTATATTATATTATATTATATTATATTATATTATATATTATTGTATATAGTATGTATTTCATATATATTACTTTATTTTCTATTCATATAGCATGATTTTATTATATTCTTGCAATTCAATTAATTATTATTATATATTAAATTAATGGTAATCATTCTTTCTATAGAAATATATTTATATATATATAATATTTGTTATATTATTATATTACTATATTTTCATAATATTATAATTATTATAGTCTTATAATTAAATTATTATTATCTATTAATTGAATGGTAATAATTATTTCCATAGCAATATATTTTATATCAGCACAAACCATAAGGAGCCCTTTTCTAACTGCACCAGCTGCCAGGCAGAGCTTGACATTCCCTACAATACATACATACAATGTATGTATTATAGAGAATACATGAAATAAAATTAATTCTTTCTGATTTTTATAATTAAGGATTTTTTTATTTTACTCTGGGTGGAGCCAGGCTTGTTTGAATGGACCATATATATTAAATTATTTTTAATATTTATAATAAATTGGTTTTTATTGTAATAATTTTTTAATGACTTACAAATAAAATGTAGGGCATACATGAAATAAACACTTAATTTCCCATAGAAAATCAATAAATTACCAACCAAACTGAAGCATTAGAGCCGCTCTCCTCCTTCCCTTTGCTTCCTGGCCTCCTCTCCTTTTTCCCAGGGATGCAGCAGGAGAACAAGCTGAAGATCCGGGTGGAGCCCGGCCTGTTCGAGTGGACCAAGTGGGTGTCCGGGAGCTCCCTGCCCGCCTGGATCCCGCCCGTGGATCTGGCTGCAGCCACGCTCAGCGTTGATACAACCTACAGGTACACACAGCAGAGATCTCTTTTGTATCTTTTTTAATATATATTTCATATATTTTTTTATAAAATATATAAAATATAATTGTATCTTTAATATATATTTAATTTAATATATATTATTTTTATATATATATAATAATTTAATATATATTATTCTATGTTTTTATTTTTTTAATATATATTTTTCTATCTAGAATATATATTTGTATACTTATGTTAAAAATATATATTCTATATATGAATATATATGTGACTTGAAAACGACATAAATATTATATATGTAGACATATATAGAATATCAATATAGATATATAAATATATGTATATGACCTGAAAACTATACATTGACATTATATATATAGACATATATAGAATATCTATATATATATATATAAATATATATGACCTGAAAATTATATATTGAAAAATATATATTAAGTATATATATATATTAAATTATATAATATTTATATATTTATATAAAATTATATTAACACATAATTATATATATAAAATATATGTATGAAATATAGAAAATATAGGATGTATTATTTATATTTATATATAAATATAAATATATAACATTTATTATATATTATATATTATTATATTTTCTAATATTGTATTTATTATAATTATTTTAATTATATATCAAATTTATGCATAAAATAAATTATGGCTTGTTATAAACCAAATTTCCCACATCACTGACAATTGTATATATAATTCTAATTCCATTTTTATATATCAATTAGATACATATAATGCTATATAAAACAGATGCATAAAATAAATTCTGGCTTGTTACAAACCCAAAGTTGCATTTCCTGGGTGTGCTTTTCCCCAGACCTCACATCCCCGTCAGCAAGCTGGCGGTGTCCGAGTCCTACGACACCTACATCAGCCGCAGCTCCCAGGTGACCAAGGAAATCATCAGCGAGTGCAAAGGCAAAGGTGAGCGCTCAAACAGCAGGGGACTATCAGCAGCAAATGCAACTTTATTAGGGGCCAAAACCAGTAAATGCCATAGTGGGGTCAGAAAAGAAATAGGAAGGATAGAGAGAAAAAGAAGGGGGATGGGAATAGCTCCCAACACAGGCCAGATCATCACTGGTCCGGACCTGTGGGTCTCAGATTCAGTCAAAGAGAGAAAAGGAGAGTTTCTAGCCAGGCAGAAGCCTGGGAAAAGAGCAGGAGAAGAATGTAAATAATTCTCTATCTCTCTTGTTATTCACATTGTTTATAGTTAAGTTCTATCACTGTGCATCAAGCACTCTGCACCAGTGCTGTGGCTTGTTTTCACTTCAGGACCAATGGAGCTGGCCCTCATGAAGCTCTGTATAAAAGAGCGGTGTATTTTGAATAAATGGGAGTTTTACTCCCAGTTTATTTTCCATTGGTCCAATGGAGTTGGTCCTCACAAAGCTCTGTATAAAAGAGCGGTGTATTTTAAATAAACCGGAGTTTTACTCTCAGCAGCCTTCTGGTCAGTCTCTTCATTCCCATCCTGCCTCGACAGCGACATGGACCATGGGGATCCATCTTGTTGTGTTGGGGAGTCTCCAAAGTCCTGCCCAACTCAGGGGCCCAGTTATAGTCCACAGAGGGGAAAAAAACGGGGGGAACATGCAGAACAATGAGAGTCTGTTGAAATTGCTGTGGGGAGAATGGGTGAATCTACTGAAAACCATCCAGGCAGGATGAACACAATGAGTCCTTTGAAGTTCCTGGAGAAGAACAGGTCATGTCAATCGTGGTTACACCACCATTTCCCCCACTCCCTGTGGTCGGGGTCTCAGTCCTTGGGGAGAGGGTTCTTGATCTCTGTCTGTCACGGCGGTAATGAGGCTGATGAGGGGTCTGCAGTGAGAGACCACCAGGGTCACCCCAACAGTTCATTCGGCTTAGAGGTGGAGAGTGAAGCAGGAATTGCAGCAGCTGCCCTGTGCTGGGTCCATGCCAGGTCGTCACCAACTCCTTGCCAAGCCCTTGCCAGGCCTCGTTGGGCACAGCTGGCGTGACGGTGCAGTGGCTGCACCTGCACTGTTGCCTCCTCTAAGCCGGAACTGCAGCAGGGGTTTTTCCTTCTCGTGGCAATCAGCAGGAAAATGAGTGAGGGTCTTCAGACGGCCTCTCACAATGCCCAATTCCAGTATTCCAGGAATTCCGATATTCCTGAAATCTTCCCCTCTCTGGGGATGACTTCCCACGCCTGAATCGCTCATCCTCTCTCCCACAAGCATTGGAAAGTCCTGAACCATCATTTCAGATATGTTCATTTTATTGGAGAGGTCCATAAGTTCAATAGCAGAATTATTTTAGGGATCCTGACCCATTGGAATATGGGAATTTATTCCCAAGGGAATAAATGAGTTATTTGCCTTCTGCTGTGTATATACAATATTATTATATTACTATATTGTTATATTATAATTTTATTTTATAGTCTTATAATTTAATTATTATCTATTAAGTGAATGGTAATCATTATTTCCATAGCAATATATTTTATATCGGCACAATCCATAAGGAGCCCTTTTCTAACTGCACCAGCTGCCAGGCAGAGCTTGACATTCCCTACAATATATACATTATATACAATGTATGTATTGTAGGGAATACATTCCTACAATGTTCCCAGCACTAAATGGGGCATTTTCTCTCCTCTGTCCAAGCTCCTCCTCTAAATTATATTCCCATAATGACCTTTCTCCTGTTCTTAAAGACCATAAAGAACATTTCTCCAAACACAATATTGACACTTTTTTAAATGCCCGTTTATATTCCTGTCACAGGGACATCCTTCCTTCTTTCAGGATTTTTCATAGAGCAGCACAGAGGGAAGAAAGAGAAAACAATTTCTATTTCTGCTCCTTGTTTTTCCCATGTGGAATGTGTGTGGAGAATTGTTTCCCTGGGGTGATGCTTGGTTGGATTCTGGTGAGGATTGTTTGAGCTGGTGGCCAATCCAACCCACCTGGGGCTGGACTCTCAGAGAGGGTCACCAGTTGTGAGTTAGATATGGGAGTTAGAAAAAGTATGTTTGTAGTTTTAGTATCTCCTTTAAATAGTATATTAATGTATTATAGTATAGTTATAATAAAGAAATCATTCAGCCTTCTGAGCTGGAGTCAGACATCAGCATTTCTTCCCACTGGGTTCACCTACATTTACAATATATTCCCATAAAGACCGTAGAACATTCTCCAAACACAATATTGAAATTTTTTTTAAATCCCTATCTGTTATTGTTGATCCACAACATTCTGAGAATTCCTAAATTCTGGTCTTTTTGCTGATTTCATCTCACTGACCTGTCTCTGCATTCTAAGCTTTGGTTTTAATGGTTTGCACACAGAATTCAAAAGCACAGTGGGGCATTGTTTGTAAAGGATCTTGGAAGTGGAAATGCAAAGCTGCCACTGTGCAAAGCCAGCAAGTGAAATCAAAGTGTTTGCTGTAATAGAAATTAATTTTTGCGTAGGCAAAAAGCATCTGCTTCCCAAAACAGCTGAAATCTCGCTGGAATTCTTGTTTTCTCCAGAAAGCATTTTCAAACCAAGTAGGAGTGAGTTAATCATTACCCTGAAAATGGAAAAATGCTCTAAACACGTTAACAAATCCCATTTCCCCGTTAATTCACAGTTTGATGTGTTTTATATAATAAAATGTTTTAAAGGTTGCTTGATCTGGGGCTCCAGCCCCTAAAGCTGGCTTTACCTCCCTCCTCAGGTGTGGGAGCCCAGCTCATCCCTCTGGCTGCCCTGGCTATCCCCAGACCTTGGCACAAAGTCACAAACACCTGTGGCTTCAATTTTAGCCCGTGGAAAAAACTGCCAACTTTGTGTGAGGAATTACAAACCACAAGGGTTTGAGTAGTGTGGTAGTTGAACTTACACAGGGTGAAAAAGTAGAATTTTGGGGTTTTTAGAATGGGGATCAAGGGGACAAGATGGAGGGGCGTGGGCGTGTCCTGATCTTCTTCTCCTTCTCCTTGCCCTCCATGTCCTGCTGTGCTGGTGACACTTTTCTGTTGGTTTAAGGCACAGACACACTGTCCAACATAAATTATAGATATTGGCACGTTATTGTAAACATGGCACACGTAGTTTTTGGTATAAAATGCAAACACCGCCCTGAGGGCAGACAGAATGCCATGGCCGAGCTGCTGGACAGAGCTCAGCAGGTCAGAGAAAGAATGTTCTAGAGAAGGGAAAATAAACAGCCTTGAGAAGCTGATCCTGCACATTCAGACTCCTTTGGCCGCAGGGGCTGGGAAAGGAGGACTTTTACACTCTTGGGGTCACCTCGACACCCAGACACTCAGGCTGTGTTTCTGATTTTATTTCAGGAAATAACATCCTGATAGTGGCTCATGCATCCTCCCTGGAGGCCTGCACCTGCCAGCTCCAGGGGCTGTCACCTCAGAACTCCAAGGATTTTGTACAGATGGTCCGGAAGGTAACTGCCACAGGGAGCAGGACCTGGCCCTGCAGACACAAAACCAATCTGCAGTCTGCTGGAGCAGGGCTTGCTCTGGGTGTTCCTCATTTCAGGAGTCAGGAGGGTGAGGGAGAAGGGTTTGAGAGGCTGGGACAGTGTGGGGTCAGGGGCCCACCTGAGTTTGGTGCTTTGTGGGGTCAGATGTCCATCTAAGATGGGTTTGCTGGGACAGTTTGGTGCTTTGTGGGGTCAGGTGCCCATTCAGATGGGTTTGCAGAGACTCTTTTGAGCTTTGTGGGGTCTGTCCACCTGAAATGAGTTTGCAGGGAATCTTTAGGGCTTTGTGGGGTCAGATGTCCATCTGAGATGGGTTTGCAGGGACTCTTTTGGGCTTTGTGTGGTCAGATGTTCATCTAAGATGGGTTTGCAGGGACTCTTTTGGGCTTTATGGCTACCAGGGGCTGTGCAGGGACCCCCAAAGCCCTTCAGCCCATCAGCTGCTCAATTAAAGAGATGTTAACCATCAAAAGGCTGGAAGTTATAATGGGATTTTTACTTCCTCTCCTTTCCTGCCCTCTGCAGAGACTCCCTGGGATATTCAGGGCTCATCTGGGAACGTCTGAGCTGCAGAAACATCCATATTTCCCCCAAAGCTGGGCTGGTTTGGGATTACATTTGCTTGGAGCTGGTCCCTATTTAAACCTGCATTCCATTTAAAAACTACATTCTTAAAAATACATTCTTCAAACTATGTTCCTTTCAAAACTACATTCTTAAAACTGCTTTCCATTCAAAACTACATTCTTCAAACTACTTTCCATTCAAAACTACATTCTTCAAACTACATTCCATTCAAAACTGCATTCTTAAAACTGCTTTCCGTTCAAAACTACCTTCTTAAAACTACTTTCCATTCATAACTACATTCTTAAAACTACAGTCCATTCAAAACTACATTTTTAAACCCACATTCCACGGGTATATCCTGTTTGGGGTTTTTTTTCCCAGTGTTTTGCACAGGCAGTCTGTCAATCACCACCTGAAAATGGCCTTTGGGAGCAGGAAAGACAGGAAAAATCAGGGTGAAATCCTGGAGGAGCACAGCAGGGCTTCACCCCTTGGCATTACCCAGCTCAGCCTGTGTTTTTTGCCTTAATTCCCATCTCTCTTCCTCACAGATTCCCTACCTGGGCTTTTGCTCCTGCGAAGAACTGGGGGACACTGGTGTTTGGCAGCTGACAGACCCTCCCATCCTCCCTCTCACACATGGACCAACTGGAGGCTTTAACTGGAGAGAAACCCTGCTGCAGGAATAGGGAGAGCCTCTCCCAGCGCTGGAGAATTCTCTTCTTCCTCGTCTTTTATTGCCAGCAGGACAAACCCCCTCCTCATCTCTCCCGTGGCTCGCTCCAAGCACATCTCACACAGCCACAGCCCTGCGAAAAGTCTCATTTTTACACCAAAATGGGCTGATTTGAGGAGGAAAAAAAATATTAAAATACGGCTTGAGGCTCTTGCACAGCTGGGGGTTGGTTTCCTCACCTTGAAGGAGCTCTGGTGACACTTTCACTGCCGCTGCAGCAGGGACAAGGAGCCCTGTGCCAGGCAGGATGCTGGGGTTGTTTTCTCACTGCTGTTTTTGCCAAGTGTCTGCAGCCTTGTTCAGCACCTCGTGCTTGCTCCTCTCCCAGCCCCAAACCCTCAGCACCTTCCAGAAAAAACGAAAGGATTTGATTTCCTGCCCCAAGGCTGGAAACGAGTCCAGCACTGGCTCTGCAGCTGCACCAGGTTATTCCTGTCCTCTGAGCGTGGAGATGGGAGTGCCCAAAATGTGCTGGATATTGTGCAGAGATTGGCTGACATGAAGGAAAATCCTGGATCAGAGGAAAATTCCAAATTTCACATCAGTTGCAGGTGAAGTTTGAGCATCGAATGTCAGCACAGCGAAAGCTGGGAGGAATTTTTTTGAAGTAGAGATAAAAAAAGCCTTTTCCAACCAAACCTGAGGGATTTAGGAAGTTCAGATTTGGGTTTGGTCATTGAAATCCACCTGTGTGCCCAAACTAAAAGGTTTGTGCTGTTTAAATTCCCTTCAGGAGGCTTTGGAAAAGGGTTTTTTTTTTTCCTTTATACTGGGATTTTTGTGCTGGCTATTCACCAGGAGTGTCTGTGTGTCCCTTTGGCAGCCCTGGTGAGATTTTGCAGCCAGCAGGCTGCTCCAGGAAGGCTGGGATGGATAAAAAACTGCTGGAATTCAGCTGGAATTCTCAATCCTTTCCTTCCTCACCCATAGTTCCCATGTGCCACCTGTCATAAAGACAAAGCAGCTAAAAAACCCCAGCACATTTCAATTTAGGAACAACATTTCATGGATTTATCCAGGGAGGGAAGGGTTGGGATTGGGGGAAAGTGGAAGAGGAGGGTTTCCATCTCTACCCAAGGAGTTTGGGATCACAAGGGGGATCCTATTGGTGCCAGAGCCTGCAGGATGCTAAAAAACACCTGCATCCCAAAATACACCACAGTGGGTATTTATAACATAAACTGGCAGCAGAGCAGGGTTTTTTAGGATTAGAATTATCAAAAATTATCAGCTTTGATGATAAATCATCAATTATTTGGTGATAAATTATCAATTATCAGTAAATTATAGATTTTTTTTTAATTTTATTTTTTGGTGATAGAATAATCTAAAATTATGAGCTTTGGTCAAAAAATTGCTGCAGGCACTTCAGCAGTGCAGGTTTGCTGCCAGCAGGTCCTTAAAACTGGGTTTAAATGGGATTTAGGTAAACTTCCTACTTGGTTTGGGCCACAAATGTGAGCATTAACAGGAATAGAATCATCCCAGAATGGTTTGGGTTGGAAAAGACCCAGGCTGGCCTTGGACCCTGCCAGGGATGGGGCAGCCACAGCTGCTCTGGGCAACGAGTGCAAAATCATTTCCAAAAGTGTGAAAACCACACAAGAACGAAACAAAAAGCAGCGTCCAAGGCACACTGGGGTGTTCCAGGAGGGATTTCTGCCATCCCTGCCCAGCTCTGCCTCTGCTGAAGCGTTTGAAATGGGTGAAAGGCAGAGATTTGCTGTTTATTATCAAATAAAAATCGAGTTCTCGGGGTGTTTTGGTGGATTTTCCCCTTGGGCAGGGCTGTTGGCAGCTCCCCCCACATCGAGCAGGGAGTGACAAAGTGCAATTCCAGCTTCCCAAAAAGGAGAAATAACTGGGATGGAGCAAACCCCGAGGGGCTGAGCTCAGCTTGGGGCTCGATTTCACGGCCAACAGCCCGGCTATTCCCACAATCCATAGGAATATTCCATTATTTCTACTTTTAGGACTGTGTAACACACCTTAGGCCACTCATAAGTGCTTTATTACAGCAGGGATGGAACTGAAAAAAGTCAGGGAGAAAATTTAGGACAGGGCAGGGGAAAAAACCAACCTGGTCCTGTGTGGTTTTATCGCTGTCAGGTTCATTTTTAATTGTCATTTAAACTATTTTTGGCTGTCTACAGATATTCTGAAGAGCATTTCTTGTTTTCCTCCATGCAAAAAAAAAAAAAAAAAAGAAATGTAAACTAAATACTTGACAATCACACACACACACAAAAATTTGGTTGCTGAGGCATTTGAATTCTCCAGATTTTTTTTGTTTCATGCCAGCAAGGTGTAAATTGGGGCAAGAAATATTGTTGTGTTCTAATATTTATTGCTCAGATGCTGCTGGAGTTGAGTGACATTAAAAGGAGTTTCTTTAGGAGCATGAAACAGAAGGAGCAAAAGCTGAATGCACAATTGGAGTGGTGTTAGCTGCTCTTTGATGTAGTAATAGAGAAAAAATGTTCTAGTTGAGGAGGTAGATGTTAAAATACTCTTCTTTAAAAAAATATATATATATTTTTGGATGTTTGGGAAATATTTTGACAATTGTAGTCTTGTCTCGAATTAGGTGTCAAGAATCACTGGGAGAAAAAATCTTATTTTCTTCAGCATTTTGAGTTTTCCTGGGGGTTTTGTGTTAAGAATTCTGGTGTGAAAAAGCTTTTTGGGGGAAAAAAGAGAAAAAAATGTTGTTCCTTTTAATTTAATTGAGAGGTTAAGAAGACAAAAGAGTTGCTGCTTCACTTTCACCCCGTTGCTGCTCATTAATGTGGATTGAATGTCACTCCAGTGGTTTGTCCCAGAACATTAAACTTGAGCTCTCCAAAATCTTTCCCTTCCCTGTGAGCTGCATCAGATCCCAACTTTTATTCCAACAGCACTTCCCAGGTTTTTCCTTCTTCCCACAATGAAGGAAAAAAAGCTGCAAACCTGCCAAGAAGAAATGGTTAATCCTCACAATTTACAATGTATGACTTAGGAAAAAACAAGAATTAAACTGACATTACACTCGAATCAGCAGAGCTTTGCTTCTTTATGCAAAATGAGGATCCAGACCGTGATGATTTCAGTAAAAATTGGTATTTCCCTTTTCACCCCCACTGAGCAGTTTCAGGCAGGAGTTGGGTCCTTCTACTGATAAATTCGGGGTGAATTTAATGAGAGCGGTGATTTTTATCCCCAAATAATGGCTTTGCTTTGTGGTTTGGCTTCTTTTCTTTGGCAGAGGAAATGATTTGGAAGTCTCAGGTAGGAGGGATGGGGGAGCAGAGGTGTCACTGAACAGAAGAAATGCAATTAACAGCGGCTGTTAATGAACAGGTTGGCTGCAAAGGCTCTAAATCACTTCTTGCTGCTCCCCACTTCCTCAAATTCATCCCCGGGGAATCTTCATGACCCACAGCACAAAATACTCAGCCAGTTCCTTTATTGCTGCCCATTAAAATGGATTTTCTGAACTTTCTCTCCTGGCATCTCTTCAGACTTGATGTTACCAATAGCTCCTTTTATTTTGTTTTGTTTCATTTTCAACCTGTTGTATCATTCTGTTTATTATTGTTTTTTGTTTTTTGGGTTTTTTTATTTACTGTAAGCAGATTATATTTATTTGAGGAAAAAAAAAAGTTTTGCTGTTTAAAAAAAACGAATCATTGTATTGCCAAAAATAGCTGTAATTACCTGTGACATCTGTATTTTTTTATTTTGGGGGTGGGTGGTTGTTTTTAACCTCAGTTCTGAGTGCTAACAACTGTTAAAACAACCACTGCATTTTAATTTGCTTCTCACATTAAATGGAATTCTCAGAAATCAGACAGAAATATCTCGTAGGTGATTTAATAAAGATGCCAAGCACCCTTCCTATTTCAGATTTCCTCCGGAGGGAACGTGGTGGGATTTTGAGCTGCGTTTTTTCTTTTTTCTCAGGCTGAAATTCATTCACTTGACAGCAGATGGCACAAAAATTCTCCCTGCTCAGGGATGGGGTTTTCCCTCTGAATTCAGTTTTTCCCTGGAATTATTTCACTCTCAGGTTTGGATGTGTGGAACTGAAGCCACATTTTCAAACCAAACTTATTTTTCCAACAGGTCTTAATCTGGATTTTTTTTTTTTTTATAATCTTTCAACCCAGTTGCTTTAAATTCATGACCTGTAGCTCTATTTTCCAGTCAAATTGATTCGTGATGATGAACACAAAAGCCACAGCTTTTATTAACCAAATATCCACTGAGCGAGGCACCTCCCTGCACTAAGTTTCATAGAAACTGGTCCTAATAAATCAGGAATAAATCATACAATGTGTTTATAATTAATTTTGTCCACTTCACTCAACCACACACAGGTTTTAAACCAGAATTATCGCATTAAATTCAGTTTATTTTGACTGTAATAGTTGTCCACACCAAATTTTGAGCACTTAAAATAGATTTTCAAGCAGCCTTGCCACATCCACGAGTGACATTTTTATAATTCAAGGACTTTAAATGGGTTTTCAAGCAGCCTTGCCACATCCACGAGTGACATTTTTTAATCCAAGGATTTAAAATGGATTTTTAAGCAGCCTTGCCACATCCACGAATGACATTTTTATAATCCAAGCATTTAAAATTGGTTTTCAAGCAACCTTGCCACATCCACGAGTGACATTTTTTAATCCAAGGACTTTAAATGGGTTTTCAAGCAGACTTGCCACATCCATGAGTGGCATTTTTTAATTCCAGGATTTAAAATAGATTTTCAAACAGGCTTGCCACATGCATCCACGAGTGACATTTTTTAATCCAAAGACTTTAAATGGATTTTTAAGCAGCCTTGCCACATCCACGAGTGACATTTTTATAATCCAGGCATTTAAAATGCGTTTTCAACAGCCTTGCCACATCCACGAGTGACTTTTTTTTAATCCAAGGATTTTTAAATGGGGTTTGAAGCAGCATTGCCACATCCACGAGTGGCATTTTTTAATCCAAGGATTTAAAATGGGTTTTTCAGCAGCCTTGCCACATCCAGGTGCTGCCTCCCCGACCCTGGGCAATGCCATCCCAGCAGCAGGGTGACCCCAAACCCGCATTTCTCTGATTTTCACCTTCTCCCCTCGGGCATCCCTCCCGGAGCTGAGGCAGGAGGGGCTGGAGAGGCGAAATTCGGAGTCCCCGGAGCTGCCACCCACCGGGACCCCGGGGTGGGGACAGGGACCCGGGGTGGGGACAGGGACCCGGGGTGGGGACAGGGACCCCGGGGCGGTGAAGTCACGGAAAGGTGCTGAAAAGGGAGCGCTGGCAGCGGCAGCCCCGCAGAGGGAGGAAGCCGAGCCCAGCTCAGCTAAACCCAGCCCAGCTCAGCTCAGCTCAGCTCAGCCCAACCCAGCTCAGCTCATCCTAGACCAGCTCAGCTCAGCCCAGCTCATCCCAGCTCAGCCCAACCCAGGTCAGCCCAGCTAAACCCAGCTCAGCTTAGCCCAGCTCAGATCAGCTCAGCCCAGCTCAGCTCAGCTCAGCTCAGCTCATCCCAGCCCAGCCCAGCCCAGCCCAGCCCAGCCCAGCCCAGCCCAGCTCAGCTCATCCCAGCTCAGCTCATCCTAGACCAGCTCAGCTCAGCCCAGCTAAATCCAGCTCAGCTCAGCCCAGCTCAGCTCAGCTCATCCCATCCCATCCCAGCCCAGCCCAGCCCAGCCCAGCTAAACCCAGCTAAACCCAGCTCATCTCATCCCAGCCCAGCTCAACCCAGCTCATCCCAGCCCAGCCCAGCTCAGCTCATCCTAGCCCAGCTCAGCCCAGCTCATCCCAGCCCATCCCAGCCCAGCTCATCCCAGCCCAGTTCAGCCCAGCTCAGCCCAGTTCAGCTCATCCCAGCCCAGCTCAGCTCATCCCAGCCCAGCCCAGCCCAGCTCATCCCAGCCCAGCTCAGCCCAGTTCAGCCCAGCCCAGCTCATCCCAGCCCAGCTCAGCCCAGCTCAGCCCAGCCCAGCCCAGCCCAGCCCAGCCCAGCTCAGCATGGCCGTGCCCGGGGTGCTGCTCGCCGTGTCGCTGCTCCTGCTGCCAGGTAAGCCTGGGGTTATCTCATCCCAGCTCTCCTTCCCAGTCCAGCTGGGAAAACCATTCCCAGAGCTCCGGCACACCGGGCACAGGGCTGTGCTGGTGGTGTCTGGGTGACAAAACCATAGTGTCACCCCATTCCCGACTTTGTCACCCCATTAGGAGTCAGTCATAAACCCCAGATCACTGAGACAGAGTTACTCCTTGAGGTGACAAAGCATCAGGGTGTCAGAAGATTCTGCCTTAAATTCGGGGGAGGATCCAAAAGGATGCTTTGCCCGGGTCAGAAATCCAAGTGTGCCTTTGTTGGTACATTGTGTGAGCAATTTAGGGAGAACTTGCAAAGTCTTTGAAAAAAAAAAAAGCATTTCAGATGCTCGAACTCCTCACTCCTGCTAGAGGACCAGTTTATTCGGATCTGCTTTGTCTTTTGGGCACAGGAGTGTGACAGGCTCATGTTTGGCTGTGCCAACAGAGGATCCAAGAAGGATCTAAGAGAGGATCCAAGAAGGATCTAAGAGAGGATCCAAGAAGGATCTAAGAGAGGATCCAAGAAGGATCTAACAGGATGCAGGGGAGGAAGGAGCATCAATCCATGACAGGATCCCTGCAGGCTTCACTCCTGACCTTTGCAGGAGAAATGGGTGCATGATCCAGGCCCTGCAGCAATATTCCCTCTCCCCCCTGGAACAGGAACCACTCAGGGCTGTCGCTGACAGTTTGCTAATTCTCAGGACAGCCCCTCTTCCCCGTCTTGCCCCAGACTCCTGCAGAATGAATTTTTAGCTGCTGCCTTAAACAGGGTGATTCTGGGTTATAGGCTCACAGATTACTGACCAAAACTCATTAAATAGGGTGGCTGTGTGATTGCAATCTCACAAATAACTGCATCAAAATTCATTAAATTGGGTGGCGCTGTGGCTTGCAATCTCACAAATAACTCTGCACCAAAATCATTAAATGGGGTGGCTCTGTGGGTTATAGGCTCACAGATAGTTTAGCACCAAAGCTCATTAAATGGGGTGGCTGTGTGGTACAATATCACAGATAAACTGCACCAAAACTCATTAAATGGGGTGGCTGTAGTTACAATCTTACAATAAGTCTGCCCAAAAACTCATTAAATGGAGTGGCAGTGGGTAACAATCTCACAGATAACTGCACCAAAATCATTAAATGGGGTGGCTCTGTAGGTTACAATCTCACAGATAAGTCTACACCAAAACTCATTATTGGAGTGGCTGTGAGTTAGATTCTCACAGACAGCTCTGCACCAAAACCAACTCAATAAATTGCTTGGCTGTGGGTTACAGGCTCACAGAGAGCTCTGCACCAAAACTAACTCAATAATTGAATTGGGGTGGCTGTGGGTTACAGGCTCACAGACAGCTCTGCACCAAAAAAACTCAATAATTGGAGTGGCTGTGGGTTACAGGCTCACAGAGAGCTCTGCACCAAAATAACTCAATAAATGGCTTGGCTGTGGGTTCCAGGCTCACACAGAGCTCTGCACCCGTGCTCTCAGTGCAAGTCTCAGTGCAAGGAGCTCTCAGTCACTTCCTGGGGGCTCCAAGAATAGCAAGCAGAGTAGAACCACTCTGCTCAGTGCATCCTGCAATTCCAGCAGCACATTGCCGCCCTTTCTTGCCTGTCACTTGGTGGCAGAGTGGCTTTTCCAGCTGGGATCCACATGGGACAAAAGCCACCCCACCTGGAGCTGCCATGGGGACATGTGCCACCGTTGGTGACCGCAGTGGCTGCAGAGCACAGCCCCGTCAGTCATGCTCTGAATAAAACCCATTTTCCAGTGGTCTCCCATGGAAATTTCCTTTCTGCCCCGGGTTGGAAAGGCAAGCGACACCCCCAAGCTGTTCTTGCTCAGCCTCGCCACAGTCACCCCAAAGGTGTGACCTGCCAGACCCCACGCTGCTGGTGTGACAGGAAACCATCACGGGGACAGAAATACCCGAGGGGGCTGTGGAAAACCACACACAACCCCCAGGTGTCTCTGAACAACTCTCAGCTCACAGCTCCTCTCGGGGACGGGCACAGCCACAATCCCCATGGGCAGCTGCTGCCCTACAGGGACACAAGGCTGATCCTAGAGGTACCAAAATCAGCTCCAGCAAAATTCCCAACAAAAAAAACCAAAAAAAAAACATCATTTCTGAGCGATTTAGAATTTTTTAAATTGTGAAAATCTTCCCCAAAAAGATTCCCCAAAAATCTTCCCCAGAAAGATTCGTTTCCCCAAACTGCAGTGGGAACTGGCAGCCGACGGCCATGTGGAAAATCAAATCAAAACACACAAAACAGGAATGAAAGCAAAACTCTCCTGCTGCCAATTTACTTAATTCCAAGCCAGGCACCAATGTTAGCATTCTCCAGGGCGTGGTTTTTGGAGAAGACAATTTATTCCAGGTCATCAAATATTTCCACCAAGTGTTTTATCTGGCTGGAGAGAAAAAACTTATTTTTCGGCCCACCTGTGAAATGAGCTGAGAGAAGAGAGAGTGAAATTTAATTTTAGTAACCAAGCCAGGTTTGGGTTTTGTTTTTTTCTTCTTTTTTTTTCAAAACAAGTTTCATTTCTGAGTTTAAAAAGCCTCATTTTTAGAGGTGCTGGGAAATCATTCTCTGCTCAGTCACACACTGAGCAAATCAGGTTCAACAGCTCCAGAATGGGACATAAAATCAGAAAATGGTTTGGGTTGGAAAGGACCTTAAATATTATTTAGTTATAACAATAGAATAAGTGAAAATTTAATGTTTGTGTTTAAATATGGGGAGTGCATGAAATGAGTCTGCTTCAGTAGTTTATTGAACTAGTAATAAAAATAATTAAATACATTCTAATAAGGAACTATTTTCCTGGCTAAGAACTAAAACTGGGTAATAATTTAAATCAGGTTGTGCTGGCGGGTGAAGATCCCAAACCTTTGTCACACGGTGCCTGTGAAAATTGAATGTTTGTGTTTAAATACAGGGAATGCATGAAATGAGTCTGCTTCAGTTCTCTATTGAAATACTTTCTAATAATGAAATATTTTCTTGGCTAAGAACTAAAACTGGTTAATAATTAAATCAGGTTGTGCTGGTGGGTGAAGATCCCAAACCTTTGTCACACAGTGCCTGTGATGGTCTGTCCAATGACAATTTATTTCTATCTCTACAACCACACTGGCAATGTAGAAATATTCAAAAACCATTGCAAAAAAGGAAAATTAACACATTTCTCTATTCAAAATATCACAGCTTTGCTTTGTGTCACAATTTCCCACTTGTTTTTTCCCCCTGGTGCGTGGCAGGGGGGTTTCCAGGGGCTGCCAGTGACTCTGTGACTCTGAAGGAAGGAGAAAATCTAAATCTTCACTGCAACTTCAGCACCCCCGGCAACAACAACTTCACCCTGCAGTGGTCAAACCCTCAGGGTTTCACCATTTTCCTCAACACCCACCAGGGTAAGTGTGAAACCCCAGCGTGGTGGCACTTCCCACCAGGGCTGGGGACTCTGAGCTGTCCCTGTGCTGTGAAAGTCACATTTTCTGGGCAGATAGACAGAATTCTGTCTCTCAGGAGAAGCACAGGGAGAAGAAGAGGAAACAATCTTTATCTCTGCTGCTTGGTTTTCCCTGTCAGAATCTGAGGTATTGATGATTCAATTGATGATTCAAACCCTGGGGGGTTTGAGCTGCAGCCCCTTCCTGGCAGTGCTGGTGGATCATTTCCTGAGGGGATGGAGCTCTCAGGGAGCACCCAGAGGTCAGCACAGGACCCACTCCTGGCTCTGAGGACAGGAGGGGATGTTCCTGACAGCCCTGACACTCTCTCACTCACAGGAATTCCGTGCAGTGCAGCAGGAGGAGGTTTTGGGGAAATAGCAATGATTTTGAAATGTGCTGGCCAAGCCAAAGTTGCCATTTCTGCTTTCCCCTCTCCCATCTCTCCATCCTTCTCTCTCCTCCTCTTGGTCCAAATGCAGGACGAGGAGTGCCTTGGCCTTCCCCTCTGCAGCTATTCAGCATTCCTTGTCAAATCCTTTCAGTTTTGATTATAAGAATGACTGGGATTCACCCAGATTGCTGGGATTTCCTTCCAGCTCAGTATTTTGTCAACACCTCAGCTAAAAAAAAAAAAAAATGAAGATAAAAAGAGAAGTTTTGAGGTCTCTTTCCCCCTGATGATTGTACAAAGCCCCAGTTTCAGTTCAATTTGAGGACAGAAAGTTGCATTTTCTGTGCTGCAATTGTGGGAAAAGTTCATGAACTTGTTGGGCTGACCCTGAGGGCTCCTGTAAATTATGGAGGAAAGAATTAAAGATTAAAAAGTCAAGAGAGAGAAAGGAGAGTAGGTGTGGCAAGCACATTTCTCTCCCTCTCAGGATTTTTCATAGAGGTGCACAGAGAGAAATGAAAGAGAAAACAATTTCTATTTCTGCTCCTTGTTTTTCCCATGTGGAATGTGTTTGGAGAATTGTTTACCTGGGGTGATGCTTGGTTGGATTCTGGTGAGGATTGTTTGAGCCTGGTGGCCAATCCAACCCACCTGGGGCTGGGCTCTCAGAGAGGGTCACGAGTTGTGGGAGAGTGAGAAATAAAGTCAGAGAATGTAGTATGTAGTTTTAGTATTCTCCTTTTATATAGCATATTAATGTATTTTAGCATAGTTATAATAAAGAAATAATTCAGCCTTCTGAATTGAGTCAGACATTATAATTTCTTCCCATTGGGTTCGCCTGCATTTACAATAAGTAGGAGATGCTTTCACTTAAAAAATTGAAATTTTAAATGCCATAAAATAAAAACTCTCCTCATGCTTTGACTTCCTCTGCTGAACCAACCCCCATGGTGTGTTGCTTTTCTGTTCTTTGCAGTTTTAAGAGACCAGAGGTACAAACTTCTCCGTTATTCCAAGGATGAATTATCCATCCAGCTGTCCAACCTGACAGTGCAGGATGCAGGAATTTACAGCTGCTTCTACTACAGGGGGCACGTCCAAAGCAAGAGCCAGAATGTTGAGATTTTGGGTAAGTTCCCTCACCTGTTTTGTTTATTTTTTCCTTAGAGGAGCAGAACAGATCCAGCTCCTCAAATCCACACCTGAATTTCCCCATAATTTTGCTTTTAGCTCAGTCCCCTCCAATAATGCTGATGGAAAGGAGTAGAAAATGCCCCTAAACTGACCCAAAATCTTCCTGCTGCAGCTGCTCCTTCCCACCCTGTGCTGGAAGTGTCCCAGGATGAAGGAAGAGGCATCAAACTCTCCTGCTACACCCATGGGGGCAGACCCCAGCCCCAGATTTCCTGGCTGCTGGACAACGGGATCGAGCTCCCAGGTAAGAGCTCCAAGACTTTTTGGGCATTAAAATTGGGTTTTATCAGTTTGGGGTGGTTTAAAGATGCTGGAGGGTGAAATATCAGCTGGGTCTGCAACTTGGTGCAGGTCTGGGGAGCAGTCAGCGTGAAATTCCAGTGGGATAAAATAAACCCAAAATGCTGGAATTTCAGCACTGAATTCCACTGGGATAAAATGAACCAAAACCTTGGAATTTCAGCTCTGAATTTCAGTGGAATAAAACCTGGAATTTCAGCACTGCATTCCACAGGGATAAAATAAACCCAGAATCTCGGAACCTCAGCACTGAATTCCACTGGGATAAAATGAACCCAACCCCCTGGAATTTCAGCATTGAATTCCACTGGGATAAAATTAACCAAACCCTTAGGAATTTCAGTACTAAATTCCAGTGGGATAAAATAAACCCAAACTCCCTGGAATTTCAGCATTAAATTCCTCTGGAATAAAATAAACTCAAAATCCTGGAACCTCAGCACTGAGTTGCACTGGAAAAAAACCCAAACTCTTGGAATCTCAGCATGAAATTCCTCTGGGATAAAATAAATCCAAAATCCTGGAACCTCAGCACTGAATTCCAGTGGAATAAAGTAAACCCAAACCCCTGGACACTGAAATTCCAGTAGGATAAAATAAACCCAGAAATTTGGAACCTCAGCACTGAATTCCACTGAGATAAATTGAAACTAAAATCCTGGAACCTCAGCACTGAATTCCAGTGGAATAAAATAAACCCAAAGCCCTGGAATTTCAAAACCCCATAAATTCTACAGGGATTAAATGAACCCAGAATCTTGGAATTTCAGCACCAAATTTCAGTGGAACAAAATAACCCCAAAATCCTGGAATTTCAGCATGAAATTCCACTGGGATAAAACAAACCCAAACCCCTGGAACCTCAGCACTGAATTTCAGTGGAATAAAACAACCCCAAAATTCTGGAATTTCAGCATTAAATTCCTCTGGGATAAAAATAAACCCAAAATCCTGGAACCTCAGCACTGAATTTCAGTGGAATAAAACAACCCCAAAATTCTGGAATTTCAGCATTAAATTCCTCTGGGATAAAAATAACCCCAAAATCCTGGAACCTCAGCACTGAATTCCACTTATTTGGGATAATTCCACTTACTCCACTTTATTTGGGCTAAACCAACCCCAAAATCATTCTTTTCAAAGCCCCAGCTGCCTTTCTTCTCCTTTAACAACCAACTGCCATATTCTACCAGTGCTATAAATAAAATTATTCTACAAATCACTGCCTTCTCAGCTCCAGTGCACATCTGTATCAGAATGTGAGAAAAACACTCAGGGATGCAAATGGCTTTTTCCTTTCACACAGCAACAAACTCTTACTTGTGTTTTGCATCATCAAGCAACATATTTAAAGCTGAAGCTGTAACCTCCCCTGGCCCAAGATGGTTTTATTTTTAAATAAGAGCTCTAGAAAACAGCAGAGAATTGTGTTTTCTGGCCTGAAATTAGAGTTAATAATAAGAATAAATCGTGTTGGCAGATAAAACCTGGGAGTTTTCAATGGGAAAAAAGAGTGTTTTAGAGCAGTGCATGGTGGAAAAGCAGGTTTTTAAATCCTGCCTGTTTTTGGGAAGAGCTGGGCTGTGTGTGAGGACCTGGGATCACCAGCTGGGGATTCATAAAAACCTCAATATATCCACTCTGATATTTTATTTCTGTCTCTCCTAGTGTTTTTCTCTTCACGTTTGCATGAAGAGGTGGGAGACACAAATTTAATTGTTTGAAAGATAAGAAATCATTGCCTTAATCCACTGTTTCTCCAATTTCTGTGGTTTTCTCCAATTTTTTTGAAGGCTTGGAGTGACTCTTCTTCCTCCCCCTTCCACTCCCAGCTTTAATCACTTCCTGCAAATATTTACACTAATCAGAAAATAGCTAATAAATCTTAATTACTGAGAACAGCAGGGCTCAGCAGGGGCAAACCAGCTGTAACCCTTGAGCTGCTGCTGACAAAGACGATTTCTGAAATCCTTTTGGAGCTCTTACCTGGCTCTGCTGGGGATGGAAGAGAGGATTGAGAGATGCAGATGTGGAAATGTTCATTTGGAAATGGGGGATTTCTTTCATTTCAGGGTAACAGAGCAAGGGGAGCATCAAAAGCTCTGCATTCTGAACAGAAATATTTGTGTCCTTCAGGCAAACACCTGAAACGCCTCCCCCTCCTCCAGGGCTGCTCAAACACATCTCTGCTCACATCAAACACCACTTTATTTTTCCTTATCATCAACATTACCTGGAGAAATGAGGTTATCAGTAATGCTGGGAATCCCACCAGACTCCCCTAATTCCTTGTGGCAAGGGAGGGAATCCTGGTGGTGAATTCCAGCAGCTGGAAAAGCCAAGGGAAGAGTCAAAGCTGAGCTGTAGCAGTGCTGGAAAACTGGATTTCAGTGTCGCCCTGTTCTTTTGAGAGTTTTAAAGTTCTTCTAAAAGTTCCTATGCCTTCTGATATTTACATATTTCAGCTGAGTTTTCTCACACATGTTGATGTAAATAATTATTGTTTTGCATTCTTCTTTGTGGGAGGAGAGAATTGATGGACTGTTGGTTTGAGCAGTGTGGTTGGAGGATGGAGAGGTGGCAATTTCATCTTCCAATCCACTGCCACTTTTACTATTGTATATATAGTGGAGTCCGAAAATAGAGTTGGCTTTTTTGGGGTTCTTTTTCTTTCCTTTTACATCTAGCCTGCTTCTGTGAGTTATTTAATTTTACAGTGCGAAGTTTCAGGGTGAAAAAAACACTTTTTTTGGTTTTTTTTTTGCAGGTGACACCAGACACCAGCTGGGAGCCGATGGGAAGAAATGGAGCACAAGGAGCACCCTGAGGATCCTCAGTTTCAGCCCAAAAGTGACAGCCAGCTGTGTCACCCAGCACCCTGCACTCGGGGCACGGAGGCTGGTGGCATCTCTCCATCTCCAGCACCTCCCCAGCACGGGTACTGCAGCTCCTCCAGCTCTGCCTCTCCCATTTCACTGCCCCGAGCTGGTGAAAATGATGCAGATGCACACAGAAATGTGGGCTCTGCTTTTAAATGACCAATCTGGGGCAAAAAAAAAAATAAAAAGGGTTTGGAGCTGTTCCTCAGTGGCAGAGCTGAGCAGCAGCACCTGCCCCAAGCTTCCCACAGCAGAGTGTTTCATTTTATTCCTCATTCCAGAGCAGCAAATATATTCTGAGGGCAGGAAAGCTGAGGGTGGGACTGGAAGTGAGACCCTTGATCAGAGACAAAAGCTAATAAACAACCCAGAGCATGGAGCAGGGCAGAAAACTCAATCCAGAGCATGGAGCAGGGCAGAAAAGCCAAAAAATCCAGAGCAGGGCAGAAAGCTCAAAAAATCCAGAGCATGGACCAGGGCAGAAAACTCAAACAATTCAGAGCATGGAGCAGGGCAGAAAACTCAAACAATTCAGAGCATGGAGCAGAGCAGGATAGTTTCTCAAGGATCTGCTCGGTGGCGAAGCCTCTTGTGATTTTTGTCATTTTTTGGGGGGGGGTTTCTTTAGGCTGCAAACAAGGAACCAGCCTTTCAGAGGATGCAGAAGTTGCCAGCCCTTCAGAGAATCCAGCAGTTTCCAGTTCTCCAGAGAAACCAGCAGGTACCAGCCCTTCTGCTTCCCCAGAGAATCCAGAAGTTTCCAACCCCTCTGTATCCCCAAAAGATCCAGAAGTTTCCAGCCCTTCTGCATCCCCAGATATTCCAGAAGTTTCCAGCCCTTCTGCATCCCCAGATATTCCAGAAGTTTCCAGCCCCTCTGCATCCCCAGATATTCCAGAAGTTTCCAGCTACTCTGCATCCCCAGATATTCCAGAAGTTTCCAGCTACTCTGCATCCCCAGATATTCCAGAAGTTTCCAACCCCTCTGCATCCCCAGATATTCCAGAAGTTTCCAGCCCCTCTGCATCCCCAGATATTCCAGATGTTTACAGCTACTCTGCATCCCCAGAGAATTCAGAAGTTTCCAGCCTTTTTCCATCCCCAGAGAATTCAGAAGTTTCCAGCCTTTTTCCATCCCCAGAGAATCCAGAAGTTTGCAACTCTTCTGCATCCCCAGAGAATCCAGCAGTTCCCAGCCCCTCTGCATCCCCAGATGATCCTGGAGTTTCCAACTCTCCTGCATCCCCAGAGAATCCAGCAGTTCCCAGCCCAGCACCGCCACCAGCCCAGCCAAACCTCACAGACATCACATCTAACGGTGAGTTTGGCCTCAGCCTCCTGAATTTGTCAAAGCTGAAATCAGGATTACAGAAATGCTGCCGGGCACGGCGTTCCATCCCAGCTGCCAGAGGAGAGGGGGACACAGAGCACAACTTTTCCTGCTTGTTCCCTCCTTTTCCCAGCCAAAATCTCTCTCCTTGGAGAAGAAGGACGGGAGCAGGGTGGGATGCTCCGGATGGGCTGCACTAGATGGCACTGTGCAACAGCAATTCGCAGAATTTAGAGAATCAGAATCACCGGGCTGGAAGAGACCTTCAGGATCACCGTGTCCAACTTCATTTTAGGATATAATATAGTTAATGACATATATTATATAATTATATATCATCTATAATGCTAATACTACTAATAATATGCTATTAAATGTCCTGGGGATTTCTGGGAATTCAAACAGGAATGGTTTCACCCTGATGGATATGGTGGGAGAGCAGAATTCCCCCAATGAATTGTGAAGAATTCCCCTTAATGAATGTAAATAATGAATTCATTCCGTTTTGAATGAAGAATTCATCTTAATGAATGTAAATAATGAATTCATTCCGTTTTGAATGAGGAATTCACCTTCATGAATGTAAATAATGAATTCATTCCGTTTTGAATGAGGAATTCACCTTCATGAATGTAAATAATGAATTCATTCCGTTTTGAGTGAATTCACAATTCATTGGGTGAATTCTGCTCTCCCACCATATCCATGGGGGTGAAACCATTCCTGTTTGAATTCCCAGGACATTTATCAGCAAATCATATAGTCTTATTATTATATGTGCTCTATATCATTATATAATATAGTATATGTCATTAAGTATAGTATACCCTAAAAATGAAGTTCAAAATGTAATGAAGTCATTAAGGTGATTTCTTCACAATTCATTGGGTGAATTCCACTTTCCCATCATATCCATTGGGGTGAAACCATTCTTGTTTGAATTCCCAGGATATTTAACAGCAAATTATATGTTCTTATTATTATATCTGATATTATATATCATTATATAATACATGATATATCATTAGCTATATTGTATCCTAAAAATGAAGTTCAAAACTTCTTTATTTGCATTCATTGAGGTGAATTCTTCACAATTCATTGGGTGAATTCTGCTCTCCCACCATATCCATGGGGGTGAAACCATTCCTGTTTGAATTCCCAGGACATTTACCAACCAATCATTATTCCATACGATATTCTATATAATTATACACCCGCCCCTGTGTTGCAGATCCCCAGTCCCCAGGAGTGCTGAGGACGCAGGGCAGGCTGCTGCTGCCTGCACTGGTGGCTGCACTGGTGGCTGCACTGCTGCTCGTGGTGCTGCTGTTCCTGCTGAAGCTGAGGAAAGCCCACGGCGCGTGGAAGAGAGGTGAGGGCTGAAATTCAGATATATTTAAATATTATAAATATATTTTTAAATGTAAAGTTTCTTTCTATTTTTCAGTTACTTGATTTTGTTTGTTTCATTTAATTAAATTTTAATTGTTTAATAATTTAATTTAATTTTTTGTGGGTTTTTCCACAGCAAATTCAATAATTTAATTATTTAAATTAATTTTTTGGACTTCTTCCACAGCAAATGTAATTTGATTATTTAAATTAATTTTTCTGTATTTTTCCACAGCAAATTTAATAATTTAATTACTTAAATGAATTTTTGTGAGGTTTTCAACTTAATATTTAATAATTTAATTACTTAAATTAATTTTTCTGGAATTTTCCACAGAAAATGTAATTATTTAATTATTTAAATTAATGTTTGTGGCTTTTTTCCCTACAGAAAATGATGTTTCAGAGCAGACACTGGAGAGTTATAAATCCAGATCTAATGAAGACAGTCCAGGCCACGAGAAGAATGGACAAGGTAAAAAGCTTTAACATATTCCTGTAACTATGTTATTGGCTTAAATAATAATTAATTCTTGGTTTATTTAATTCTAATAAATATTATTATCATATCATATCATATCATATCATCATCATCATCATCATATAATGTAATACTTATTATATATACTTATTTATTAATTCTAATATATAAGTATATATAAGTATTCATTATAATTATATAATTATAATATATATCATTATAATATATCATTAATATAATTATATTAATACATAATATTGTATAGAATCATTAATATATAATTGACAATAATATTATATAGTCATTAACATAATATAATCATAACACTATATAATCAATAATATAACATATTACAATGTTATTATCATTATATTATATATCATTATAATAATTCATTAATATTATAACATTTAACTATAATTAATAATTCTTGTTTTATTTAATTGCTGCTGACTGGCCAGAGCAGGTGGCAGCTATAAATAATAAACTATAAATAATAAACAATAGACTTTAAATAATAAATAGCAAATCTCAAATAATAAATAATAACAAATAATTAATAACAAATAGCAAATAATAATAAATGATAAATAACAAATCATAAATATTTGTTGTGTTTTAGCTGGAAATCCCAAGTCCAACATGCAGTATGTAACAGAAGGACCTGTGGAACCCCCAGAGAAGAATGCAGCAATGCCAGAGAAGGATTCGGGTGACAAAAGCACGGCAAGAACTGAGGAGAGGTTTCCATGTGGAAGGGAGAGTGATGTGTAACGGTGGGAAGGCTGCAGGAAAATCCATTTCCAGATGTTTGTACCGAAGTTTTTGGGATTTGGCCTCGGAGGAGCAGGAGGGACGGGAACTCCATCCCAAAGCACCCGGGGTTTGCCCCTGGAAACTCGGACTGAGCCACCTGGAACCTTCCGAGCTTCTCACCAACCTCTGCCACAGCCAGCTCGTCACCCTGTTATTTATTAAAAATATGGGTATTGATCTAGTACCGATATCCAGCTGTGATGGACAAAAACTCTCTAACAGTTTAAAGTTAGAAAGTGAATGTTTATTGTGTGTGGGATCGCTCCCAAATCCACACCGCAGCTTCCAGGTGATTACAGAGCCCTTTTATCCATACAAGTATTGAATACCCAAAATACAAATACATATTCATCATTTTGGTACATCCCATTCCCCATTTCCTATGCTGATCACTCCAAAAGCCATTCAGCATGCGTGGTTTGTTCCTTGAAATGGGTCGGTGTCCCTTTCATGGGGAGGGGTCCCAAAATGAGGAAGTCAATGAAGTCTTCCTCCTTCTGACCTTTCTACCTTTTCAATGCCAATCTGACAAATGAACTCTTGGTAGAACTCCCATTCCTTGTCTTCAGTTGGTTTCAGAACAGAGGAGGCCACAATTGTCTTATGTTCCTAAAAGCTCTTTGTCAGTTTGTGTATTCTTCATTATAAACCCAGCTAACTCAACATTGTGCTGACAAGCAATCAATTATTAGTTAACTACTAACTCTTAACTTCATCAAGGCCTACTCATTTATTTTAATTAACTCTAGTGAGGCTTATTTCTAACTAAAATCTTAGCTCCTCTAAAATCTCTAAATTCTTTAAAATTTACACTTCACCTGCAGCACCCAGCGTCCCCTGAGGATACCCAGCCCCAAATTTCAATATTTATGGTTGATTTTGTCACCTCCTCTGTGACCACAGGCGCTACGAACCAGCTGTGACTTCTCTTTTCTCCCTGGGACCCCAAACCTGGATTGCAGCCGGGTTTAACCAAGCTGGGAATTGAGTCTGTGCAATAACAGAAATGTGAATTCCAACAAATGGAATTCCACAAAATTGAGTCCATGCAATAAGGGAAATGTGAATTCCAATGACTGGAATTCTACAGAATGGAATCCCTGCAATAACAGAAATGTGAATTCCAACAAATGGAATTCCACAGAATGGAATTCCACAGAATGGAGTCCCTGCAGGAAGGGAAATGTGAATTCCAGTGAATGGAATTCCACAGAATGGAGTCCCTGCAATAAGGGAAATGTGAATTCCAACCAATGGAATTCCACAGAATGGAATATCTGCAATAAGGGAAATGTGAATTCCAGCAAATGGAATTCCATAGAATTGAGTCTGTGCAATAACAGAAATGTGAATTCCAACAAATGGAATTCCACAGAATGGAATTCCACAGAATGGAGTCCCTGCAGTAAGGGAAATGTGAATTCCAATGACTGGAATTCTACAAAATGGAATCCCTGCAATAACAGAAATGTGAATTCCAGCAAATGGAATTCCATAGAATTGAGTCTGTGCAATAACAGAAAAGTGAATTCCAACAAATGGAATTCCAGTGAATGGAATTCCACAGAATTGAGTCTGTGCAATAACAGAAATGTGAATTCCAGTGAATGGAATTCCACAGAATGGAGTCCCTGCAGTAAGGGAATTGTGAAATCCGACGAATGGAATTCCACAGACTGGAATATCTGCAACAATGGAAATTATTCCAACAATTTTTGACCTTTGCAGTGTCCCAGAGCATTTGGGGTGGGACGGGAGCTCTGGAGATCCCCCAGCCCAAGCCCTGCCCAGGCAGGGTCACCTGGCGCAGGGACACAGGGACACATCCAGGTGGGGCTGGGATGGCTCCGGGCAGGGAAAGCCCAAAAACCTCCCAGGGCAGCCAAAGGCTCTGCTGCCTCTGGGGGAAGTTCTTCCCCTCCAGTTCGTCCCCTCCAGTTCTTCCCCTCCAGTTCTTCCCCTCCAGTTCTTCCCTGGCTTTCCTGCACCGAGAAGCCCAGAGCGGGACACTGTAAATATCATCACATAAAACTCATTCCAGACTATTATTTCTCACTGGAAATACGGAAAAATTATGAAAACTGGGGTTTGGATACCGAATGAGATAAAAGGCCCTGCCTATTCTGTTTTCCAGTGGAAACAATTCCATTTTCCAGTGGAAACAATTCCGTTTTCCAATGGAAACAATTCCATTTTCCAGTGAAAACAATTCCACTTTCCAGTGGAAATAATTCCATTTTTCAGTGGAAACAATTCCATTTTCCAATGGAAACAATTCCATTTTCCAGTGGAAACAATTCCATTTTGGAAACAATTCCGTTTTCCAATGGAAACAATTCCATTTTCCAGTGGAAACAATTCCATTTTCCAGTGAAAACAATTCCATTTTGGAAACAATTCCGTTTGTCAGTGGAAAGCGGCTGTTCACGGGCGCTACCACAGCGCCCGCGGCAGGGGGGGACCCGCGCTCCCCCCGCGGCCCGCGCCCGGTGGGTGCGGCCGGCGTGGCCCGGGTTGCCGCGGCAACGGGAACGGCGCGGCCCGGCCCGAACGGGCCCGGCCCGGGCCTGGGACAGGGACAGGGACAGGGACACGGGATAGGGACACGGGAACGGCCGTGAGAGGGACCGGGACACGGAACAGGGACACGGGAACGGCGGTGAGGGACCGGGACACGGAACAGGGACACGGGAACGGCGGTGAGAGGGACAGGGACAGGGACAGGGACACGGGACAGGGACATGGGAGAGGGGACGGAGGACAAGGACACGGGACAGGGACACGGGAACGGTGGTCAGAGGGACACAGACAGGGGACAGGGACACGGGACAGGGACAGGGACACGGGACAGGGACACGGGACAGGAACATGGGAGAGGGGATGGAGGAGTAGGACACGGGACAGGGACAGGGAACGGTGGTCAGAGGGACATGGACAGGGGACAGGGACAGGGACACAGGACAGGGACAGCAGAGCAGGTAAGGGGACATGGAAGAGGGGATCGTGGATGACAGGACCAGGGACAAGGGACTGGGACAGAATGAACAGGGATGGGGAGGGGGGACAGGGACAGGGGGTGAGGGAAAGGGGACAGGGAACTGGGACAGTGGACAGGGCACATGAGAGAGGAGATAGGGATGGGGGAAGTGGGAAAGGGGACAGGGGACCAGGACAGGAGAGCAGGGACAGGTGATGGGGTGTGGGGGAGGACACTGGGCACAGGGGACATAGGAGTGGGTGAGGGACATGGAAGAAGGGACACAGGAGAGGGGCTGAGAGGAGGCAGGGAAGGGAGCTGGGGACAGGGGAGGCCTTGGGGACACCGTGGCTTTCCTTTGGGACTGAGGTCCTGCTCCAGGCCAGGAGATTTCCCCTTCCCTGCCCATCCCAGGCCCTGCTCCCAGGGCTGCTGTGGTCACTGATGGGAGCAGGGCACACAGAGGGCACAGGGGACACAGGGGACACAGGAGACTGTCCAGGTGTCAGGGCTCCTGCAGGGTAAACTTGGCTGTGAGCAGCAGGGTAAAATATCCAAAATTCTTTATCCCCAGGCACTGGAGTGACTCTGCCTGTGCACCTCTGACCGTGCTGGCGCTGATGCACATCTCAGCACAGAACATCTCAGCACAGAACATCTCAGCACAGAACATCTCAGACACTCCTTTTCCTCCCTCCCACTTCAACTCGGGAATATCTGGCAGTGCAAACGACTTCTGAACACTTCAGCCAAGTGTAAGGAAACTCTCATCCCAATTTAGTCAGAGCTCCAGTTCTCCCTGTGCTCCCTGGCACACCTTCTTGCTGATTTTACATGGCCAGAGGGTATAAAGTTGCATGAAGAGAACAAACAATATTCATTTTAACTCTCAAAAGTTAACAGGTGCTTTGCCTCAGCTTAGTTTTCTTTGTCACAAGCTGGTTTTGCATTATTTATTACCACCAATAGCTGAGATTTTATAGCAGTAAATTCTGTGTTTGATATGTAGAGATCTTGACATTATTGCTTAAAGGGAAATCAGTGGGACAGATGAGACTAGAGAATTGTTTGAGGTCTAAGCCAATGGTAGCTGCACCCAAATGCAGCTTTTAAATATTATTAAAATGTTTTATGTGTTCTCCAAATGCAGGGCTGGTGTGAGACATCAGTGCAAAACAGGGGATGAATCCTTCAAACATGAAATACATTTCAGTCTCTTCCCCACCCACTTACACCACGAATAACATCGACGTCCCTCCAAAAATCCTCGTGCCTCCCGTTTTCCAACCTGCGAGCTGGGAAGGGGAAAGGAGCTCTGCCTCCAGTCTGCAGGATTCCCAGGATTCTGACTCGGAGAGCCTGGAAAAGGAGAGGCAGGACCAGCTGGCTCTCCTGGAAAATCAGGAGCTGGTAGGGCAGGATGCTGGTGACATCCTGGAGGATGGCATTGTGGAAGAGGACAGCTTGGAGGAGATGAGTTCTGAAGAGAAAGAAGCTGAGTATGACACAAAAAAGAAAGGAAAACCAAAGATTTATGGCAGTGGAAGGTAAGGCAAAAACTTTAGTGGAGTAGAATAATTCTGACACTTTTAACCTGATGTTCCTCAAGGCCACATTTAAACATCCTTTAGAAAGCATTAACTGGGTACATAAAATAAAATTGAATTTCCTGTCATATGTGTGGAAGGTTTAACCCTGGATAAATTGGGAATAATTCTTGAGTTTAAAGAGATTACATTAAACCCGAAGTAATAACAATGTGCAGTTTCAATTTAATAGTCTACTTAAAATAAAATGACAAACAAATGAAGGCTAAATGATTAATAGCATGCTTTTATTCACCTCCTCAACAAGCAAAATGGCCAGTTATTGAATATTTTATTGTGAGTGCAAATGATGTTAATTGTACTAGAAACATGCTCTAATTTTTAGTAATTTTTTTGGACTGAATACTGTGCTGAATGTGAGGCTCTTCATTAAATGGAAATTTGATTTTATTTTGTTTGAACTCAGCCCAGTAAGTACTCCAGTGCAGTCCATTAAGCAGAGCAAATATCACAGCACATACATATGAAACCCCCTCTCTACATCCATTACCAACCTCGGAATTTGAAGAGGAAATGCTGCAGCTGTTGTCTGCTCACCACACTTTTGTTGAGGAGCACCGAGTCCATCCAACCTCCCCACGGAGCTGGGGGCAGGAATAAAAGGTGCCCTTTTTTTGTCTGGGGATG